TAATGGGTTTTACCATGTTAATTGGGTTTTATTTGGGTTTTAATGGGTTTTAATGGGTTTTATTGGGTTTAAATGGGTTTTATAGGGTTTTATTAGTTTTAAGTAATAACTTAACAAAAATAATTAGGAATTTGTATCTATTCGGAAATTATTTTGTTTTATAACACTTGAAATCTGTGATGCTAAAGGATGGAGTCAATTATTGAATTGTTCCGAATTTTCATATATTAGAATAGTAATGAAATAAACTGCTTTAGAATGAATTGAGATAACGTCTTCTAACGTATAGGAGATGTATTTAACTTTTAGAATGTAGTTTTTAAGTAAAACTCAATTAAAACCCAATAAAACCCATTAAAACCCAAATAAAACCCACTTAACATGGTAAAACCCACTGGGTTTTATTCATTTACAACCCATTAAAACCCATTAAAACCCAATAAAACCCAACCCATTAAAACCCAGGTCGGAATACCCTGTTTGGAATTAACGTGTCGACATGATGGAGACGGTGGAGATCCAGGGAGTAATTTTGAGTTGGAAATATTATCACGAAGTCCCGATCTTGGGACAATAATGGTAACTTATTTAGTATTTGAATAGTAGTAAGTACACTGTGGGAATGGATAGAAATTATTGTGTCGAAGATGCTAAAGCGATTTAGGTGGATGTAACTTAGTTGAATTTTGTGTCCAGTCTGAAATAACGTTATTCGTCTTGGGCAGTTCGAATCGATTTTGAGGTCGTCTAAACTTTTGGATTTTGTGAGAATTTGATGCTCCATTAAACACAGTGGCTGTATCGGTGTGGCGAAATAGTATAACATGATGCAAAGGATACATTGGAATTGTATTAGTTTATGAGGACTCATTTTATTTATTTTTAATATGTAATCGACTTCATGGTAGGCTGACGACGTACACATGAAATTATTTTAAGGAGGATGCGTGAATATAAGATGTTTGTATGTATATGTGTTAGAGTGTACACATGTAAATGCCTATGTGTATAATTGCCCACATATGTACATACATATATTCATCAATATATGAATATGTAATCAAGCAATGATTGATTCTCATTAGTTTTTCAGTTGGCGATTTATCTTTTTGATGCAAATAATCACCGGTTGTAATGGAAACGGAACTCTGGCATTAGAGTTCAAGCACAAGAGTGTAAATATCTACTTATGGCAAAATGCGATTTAATATGAATTTATATGCATGACGTCAATGAGCTGACAATTAAAAATTGTTATACTCCAATGGTCAAGGTAAATACATATATATGTACATACATTTGAAGCATGCTTTTTCACCGTATTTTGGAATATAATTATGAGTAAGTACACAGTAATAAGCGTGAGACAATTATGGAATTTAATGTCACATTACTCACTGGATTGGCATATGTACATAAGTAGCTGCACCAATCAGTAGCCAAAATAAATATTTTGGTTCTAATTGTTTCAAATTTATTCGGAGTAATTTGCTAGAATTTTAAAGGATTTAAATGTTGCATTGGAAATAAAATAAATAGCTTGAACTAGCCGGTAATTACATTTACAATTGCATTTTTATAGTATTGGCTGCATTAAATAATACTATTATCCCAAATTTATAAATTACATAATGCTTTAAAATTTCGAATCCTACTCCCTCCTGGTTCGGTTCTACAGAATAATTGTACATATATAGCAGCTATATTTGCATATAACTGCTTCATGGTACTACCAAAATGACTTTCCACAAAGTAAATGTGTCGAAAGTAAGGAAAAATCTTGACTATAAAGTAACATCGTATTTCTCAAAAATTCCCATCCCGTCCCACACCCCGGACGAAGCCCTTAAAAGATTCACCATATTCACCGAATTGTTTTATCCGCAATACGTAACGTGGGATCGGTTAACATGGGAGCCGCACCCCACCGCGAAAAAACACCTCACCCGTTGGTACTTCTTCTCGTTCTTTCTTATCATGACATCATTAAGTTTCTTTAGTAAGATTTTGCAACAAATCCTGAAATTTGAGAAAGATCCTCAATTATCAATCATAGCGGGAACATTCATTCTCCTATTCTTTGCTTTAAGTAGCATTACGGTAACGACAATTTTTACGTTTATTTATAAAATTGAATCTCTCTGCTTCGTGTGTCGAAATTTGAAAAACATGAAGAATCACGGTAAGCTGAAAATATTGAGTAAACAGCAAATGAGACATTTTATTCGGACATCTGTAACTTAACTTAAGTGTGCAAGTGGTGTAAAATTTTACAAATTAAAAAATAAATTAAGCAATGCCATTTTCAATACTTAAATGGCGTCTTTTAGTTTTTATTTATTTATTTAAATTTTCACAAATCCAGTCTTGGTCTGCAAACATTTCAATTGGCGTATTCACGACAACGTTTATGTACATGTCTACAAAATTTAGCATCAATTTCAATTTTTTTCGAAATTTAGCAGATTTCGTAAGTTTTGTGCTGGAAACCCCATGAACCCATAAGCTTAGAATATCTACATATATGGGTAGATTCATGGGAAAACCATGTGATTTTATTTTCGCAAATTTTCTCAGTAATTGAACATATTTTTATTTTCAAAAATTAATTCCCAAATTCATTTTATATCACATCGCGATATAAATTACAGAAACTAAATCAAAATAGGATAACTCACGCAACAAATGCTTTTTTAGCGTCGCACATTTGCAAAGTTATTCCTTATGCTAATGCAACTTACGAGGTCGGCGTGATTCACGTCACGAGAGTACGCCTAATAAATGTGTTTACAGTTTTGAAAATTGTTTGGAAACTTATGCTTTCAATAATGTGTCAAATAATTAGTTTCTGTTGTCAAGGTCCAGATGAATTGTCTCATTATAAATATTTTCTGCTAAAGTACCTAAGAGAATTGTTAACAATTTACTTTTTTTATATGAAGGACACAAAGTCAAAAGGATTGACCGGGTAGGGCTATTGTTCCACAGTTTAATACTTATACTGGTCTTGCTCCCCCCGATTGCGTCGCTTGGACCCTGGTTACATCCCGCCATTCACCCGACCTACTTCTGGTTCCGAGACTTCAAATTCATGTCAGAAAATTTGAAGATATTTTTAAGATGCCTGATTATCTTTATACTAACGTTTCACGGAGGATTTAATTGTGTAGGTATTGTTATTTACATTGGTTATTTTGTTATGCTGATAAGTTGGTCATTACGGGAATTCGGGTGCATGAGAACACGTGAGAATTATTCTCAATTGTTCCAAATAATGGCAAATTTTCCAGGTAAATATCTGCAGTATAGGCAACTGCAAGTAATCATGGTGGAACTGAACGAGCTGCTCTGTTATGCACTTCCGATCTGGCTGTTCCTCGTATTTTTGTGTGCTTTAATGTCAGGCTATTTATTGGTTGACTTGGCCAATGTGCTTCCAATGCTGATATTGGTGTGTAGTTTAGTAATTGATATATCCGCGATTGCGATAATTAATGCGATATTTCCCTTGATGGCGAGAATTCCAATAAGATCGGGGGATTTGATAAAGTTTTGGAAATTAAGTCAAGCCTTTTCGAAACATAGAGCGCGGCAGTTGAAGAGTTGTAAAGCTTTAAAAATCTACTTGGGGCACTTTCGTTGTCTTGGGAGGGGATCAAGGATGGAATTCTTGTCGTCGATTTTGTACTATACGGCAACTTTGGTAATTGCGGTGTGATATTGTGTGAAATTTTCTGGGGTGCGTTCATATAAATTAAATATTGTATTATTGTAAACTTTATGAGATATACATGCATGCACATACTTATTTTTACATACGTTTCAGAAATAAATGATTGCCAAATAATTAAATATATATATTTGTAAAATATACATGTACATATTAATTATTATTTACTTATTTATATTAATGCAACTTATACATATTTACATATGTACATACATAAGGATTGTGTCAAATTGCTGCGCACTAAATAAATTAGGGTAAAATTTAATCACCGTTGTGAAATATTTAAAAATTAGAAATAATTTAAGAATTTCTACAAAGGTGAGTAATTGGTTCAATGTGAGTGGCGAAATTAGTTTTCATGCAAATTAATTCATAAATTTTTAGTCCAATAACTCTACTATGTGTAATAAACTTAAAGTTTGAAATAAAAAAATCGGAAATCTGAACGCTATAATGGATTGTGTATTGAAATTAATAAAATAGTTTGATGTACATGTTTATGTACGGTACATCGACGAGACCGGATCGATATCTCACATTCGTCATTACATTATTATCAACTTTTTGCAGTAAGTCATTTAACTTACTTGCTTCAGGGAAGAGGCACAATTATTTTTATAAGAAATACGTCTGTGATCTGTATTTTGTATCAGCAGATTTACATATGGATACACGTTACGCAAAACATTTCTGCTGAACACTTTTTGCGGTCGGGATGATGATGCAGAAATGGCAAATCAGTCCGCTGTCTGGTTTTCTTGGTAATCCTTCATAATCATATCTTGGTATTGGTTTCTTTGTAAATCTCATTTACCAAGTAAGGCTATGGATAATTGAACCACGACTTTCTGAATCTCTGGATTAAATCCATTTTAAAATAAGGTGCGATATCGTGTATATCGCGTACACGTTATGTATGCCCTTGTCATTAAAGAACTCACAATTTTAACGAAGTGAAGCATATACATATTTCCGTAGGCATACATACTTAGGATATGTATGTGCACGTATATATGCATATATACATATACATATATCTACATATTTATGTAGGTACATGGAATGCTTGCGTTATATTGATGGATACGTGTGTATTTCTACATGCATATTCATTATGTAATAACAACTTCATACATACATGCTATGCTACATATTCGTAATACAGATATATATTCACATTAAAGCATTCCATGAACTGTTTTTTCCACGGGCGATTTTTTGCATGATATACGACCGGACAAAATAAAACTGGTGGAGTTGCATAAATAAAAGTAAAGATCATATTCACCTCACATTTGCAACTTGTATCTCCCTCATTGAACGTACGTGTTACAAGCATTTGCAAAGTTTCTGTTATTTTACATGTTACAGAATTTATAACTTCAATAAATATGCGAACTTTTGCCTTCGCGTACATTTTTGTTGCAACGATATGGATTTCGGCAGCGTTGAAGGTTAAGGTTGAGGACAAAAGTCTGTTCCGTGTCGTTCCACGAGATGAAGACGAGTTGTGGTTGTTAAAGCAATTTACAAAATCTAATTATGAGGTGAGGTAGATATTTAGTTACATGAGTAAAAACATACGGTTTAAATTAAATTTCAATTTTATTTTGTAATTAGGTAATTTTGTGGAGTGGAATTGATCAAATTGGAGAGCCGGTAGAATTTCTAGCAGTTCCGACAGCGATGGATAAGTTTATACAGGATTTGAATTCTAAGGCTAAACTTAATATCGGTGTGGAATTAGTCTTCCCATACGTGAAAATGTAAGGCAATTATGAGAAATATGTTGGAAATCAATTTACTCGGATTTTTGTAATTAACTAAACTTGATATAAGACTAAATATATAAGTAAGCAATTTACTGCGTTACAAAAATCTGATTTAACTAACCCTGTACCCCAGACATTGAGATGAAGTTTAAAAAATATGTAATTGTAATTACACACAATTAGTGAAATGGGAACCGAACCGATCACCAGGGAACCAGATGCCAATAATTGCACCAAACTGGCCCCTAAAAATAATCCTGTTCCAGTTCGAAAAATTCCTGGAACTGACTTATTCACCGGAATTTACTACACGGTGAAAATGCCCCGCTTTCCAGAAGGATTCGTTACCTGGACCGAAGCAACGAATGACCATGATGCAAACTTTATCCAAATTGATCTCAACCTGGGTAATTTACGTCATTATCGCCCAGGGGAAAAGTGGGATAAAGACGCCCAATGGATGTTCAGGCCAACCGAGGACCCCGATTGGTTTCAGTGGGACAATCGGGTAATTTTTCCTTATTTATCTAAATGGCCAATTTTTCGACAAATCGAAGTATTTCATAGATAAACCCCTCAAATTTTCCTGCAGGTTCTATCCTCTCAACGGAACGCCATCACAACCTGGAGTTATAAGGAGGTTGGAAGCGGAAATCACATAATCGCGTCCAAGAAACCGGAAGATATCGACAAATTAAGTGCTGGTGGGGAGTGGAGGGTGCACGCTTTGTGGAAACCGGTCCCAGTTCCTGACAGTAATCGATACAGGGTAAATTTGTTTTATAGATTTGCAAGCTCTGTGATGTTATCACAGATAGAAAATTTACACATTTACAAGCTTTGTGTGAAACCACCAGTGTCGCCGAGCCAATTTATTCGGATGGTTTGTAAATTGTATTAGTTTTGTCAAATTACTTTAAAAAATTGTGCAAAGAGACGTATGTGTGATTTTACAATTGTAAATTTATCCCAGTAAATTGCCTTATTGTATTTTATTAGCAAAATCTAATCATGCTTTTTGACATTTCAGTTAATCAACAAAAACTTCCCCATGGGAACGATTACCTGGACGGAAAAGAAGTATGGAAATTACTCCCATTACATCCAAGTCGACACAAATATCGAGCACTGGGAACATTACAGGACCGGAGAGAAATGGGATTCGGACTCTCAATTCGAATTTATCCAAGCAGAAGAGATTGTTCTATCGGCAGCAATTTCTAATTTTTCATTCTCCCCGAGTTACGTGGATTATATAAGAGACGAGTATGCCGTGATGGTCAATTACACGTTGAACAATCCCTCCTCTGTAGAATACAGTCATACCGTCGAGCAAAATTTCGAACGGCTGGTCAACGTTTCGTACAAATTTGAAATAGATTCAGATTTTAAAGTTCGCCTGGAAAACGTTACTATTGATAACGGTCTCCCGTCATTATTTGGGGAAGGAAATGTCTCGGAAACATTTAAGTTGGACGAACAACCAGTCGACCATATGAATGTGGATATCGTTTCGTTCGTCGTACTAAAGGGTAAGATTTTATATGAGTTAATTATGAATGAATTTTATATGAAGTCAAGCGTTTCGGGTTTCCCGCTTAAAACAAATTTTTATCACGACTGTATTTAATTGGTACATTATGCTCTTGTGTACTAAATAATTTCCATTTTTTTATTCAACAGCATCAAAACCTATTACAATTCCGAAACACTCATCCATTCGCGTTTCTTCATATCCTGAGTGGCTCAGCCAACTCGAAACTTCCTTCAACTCGACAATGCAAATTATTGGCAAGTCGACTACTGGGGCGGCGCTAAGTGGGCTATTTATCAGGGATCATTTAATAAAATTAGAACAGTGGTCAGAGTCCTGGGGGGTGGAAGAGTATGGCGTGTCGATTCGAATGGAAGGCGTGTTTAAAGGGAATTTCACGGTAAAGGGAGCGATTTCAGTGGGGCAGGCAAAACCGAGATGGAATAATCTAGTAAAGGTGGACACTTGTTTAGAGAATAATTTTGAAGAAAACACAAATTCTCCCGAAATGGCATAATAATAAACATATCTACATATATCATGTATGTATGTAGTGATGCAAATAAACAATGGTTCAATTTTCGGTAATTTTAATTGTTTAAATGATTAAACATTAAACATACCAACTTTACCTACCTAAACAAACAATGAGAACTTTTATACATGTAGTAAATATATACATATATTTTACAATGTACAGAATAAAATAGAGAAATGTGTACATAAATCTTATGATTACGTGATCCAAAGAGGTCTTGTTAGAATGTTAGCAGTACCATAATTTTGTTAAAATCTTGCATTAAAAACTCCTCAAGACTCTGTGTCTAAGAAAATGATTACACAATTTCACTACAGATTTAATTTACGCACATAGCAGTACATTTTAGACATATGTACCAGATTTATGGATATACATATAAATATAAGTTGTACTTTGATCTGAAAATTTCCAGGTAGGTATTAGTTCCGTCTGAAGAACCCACTTCATACAGAAATTACCAATGACATCGTGTTATCCGCAATCAAGCCAAGCATCATAATCCGTGTACCTCTATGAATAAAGAAATATGAACCTGCCCAAATCTTCAGGTGTCTGCAACTCCGCAGCTGCCTTTTCCTGTAACTAGAACACCCTTGCAATTTGAAAACCATTAAAAAGTCTGCAGATTTCTTAATCATATCCGCCATTATGGGAAATGTCAACTGAATAAATCCAAAAATTGCGGCGATTGACGTTACCCCGAGAATTACAAGTGCGTATGGTACACTTCCAGCCAAATTGATTACCACGTATCCCATTATGACCGCAACTACCCCAATTATTAAAGTGATGACGGGAAAGAGGTGCCAGATAATTCGATTGTAGACTGAATTTATGATCTGAAGTTGACGATAAGTCCTCATGCTGGTAACATATTTGCCAATATTTATAAAATTTGACCCCTTAAGGTTTACTGGAGTTATCCTGTCCAACGTATCGAGGAAAAATAGGATTATATTCACACCGATAATTGCATAACCAAAGACCATTACGCAAGTATGAATTAAAGTAGATGAAATGACGATAAGCCTGAAAAACAATTTCAATCCGAAAGGAATAAACGTAACGTGACGGAACCAAAGGTAACTCGGATCCAATTTTGGGCGAAGAATTAGTACAACACACGCACATAACGGTGTCGTGACGATAGATCCGATTAGTCCGTGGAGGAAAACACCGATCAGATTCGACGATTCGTTAGAAGTCCCTGAAAACAATTTAAAAATACAAAGTTCACATTTTTCAATTGAGATGACGGAATAGTAGTGTTGGTAGATCAGACAATATTATAACAATCAGACAATATAGACGGTTTACTATAACGAGTTCGATCCGATTTTCGGATCGGATCCATGATAAACGGATGGATAATCCGGTCTGATCAGACTATACCGGATGCCGGATATACAAACACTACGGGACAGTGAGCATCAGGATTCATGGAGCTAATTTATCACAAATTCCACTGCTTGTGCTTAGACAGCAGTACAAATATGTACTTCAATTACCTCTAATTCTCCACAGATTTCCAATCACGAAGCAAAGTTCATCTGGTTTAAAGTGATATATGCAGCAAACTGTTGTCGAAAGCGTATAAGCAGCACATTCTAGCAAGAGGACGAGACTCATCTTCACAGATAAGTCGGGATCTTTCTTGTGTGAAAGCAATTGATGGAGAAGGATGAAGTAGAAATTCGTTACCACAACGACAGTGAAGAAGGAGAGAAAGTACCACGGGATCAGCTTCGATTTTGCGGTTGGTTTTGGTTCCCATGACGCCCTGTTAAAGGTCAGTTGCTGGGGGTACAGCCGGTCACTGACCCGAGCGAAATGTTTCAATGCCTCGATCGGGGTGAGGCTATGTGAAAATGGCGTTGGTGATGGTCGTTTCGGCAAATTCAGCATGTTGCATACTATTTATGACAAATTGTGTGATTAATTGTATTTTTTGCCAACCGTGATGTTTCAGTTAATGTTTATTCTTCTAAAAACCGAGATTTACGTGGTCTTTCTTAGTACCGTGGTCTCTGCCTTTGCTGGGTTTCATGATGACTTGCATTATTCGAATGGTATCATGGCTTAAAAGGTTGTGAGGTTGAAGGGTATAAAAAGTATGCGAAATGTATTTCGCGTAATACAATTTTAGTTAATTTCCGATATGTAAGCTAATGCGGTCCTTGACATTAAACGTGACAAAGGACATTTCTATGTTATTAAGTTAAGAGTTGAAAGTCCTTGCAATTTATGAATATATATGTATACATATTTATATGTGTATTTGAGTTATGCATTTGCCACAACAATTTAAACTGGCAATTGCCCAGAATATTTATTCGCTTAAGTAAATGCTACATTATAATATGTTTAGTAATAACCTCTGACTTCTCCTCTGAATTACGCTGCTTGCATATATGTACTGATGTTTGAAATATTAGGTAGTGCGCATTAACCTTAATAGCAAAATACAAAATTTGACTTAATCTGATTATCCTGTCGCAAGGCCTTGAGAGTTGTGTAGAAGACATTGGCTGTCATTTTAAATTACGAGTCTGGATTTTGGGCTACATTATTGCAATGAGTGAAAGTTTGTGTTTCCGTTTAATTGGTATCAAATTTTGTCATTTTATTTAACTTACCATTACAAATTTGTATGTATGTATATCATAAGCGGGAAGGAAATTAGCATCTTAAATAATACATAATTTTGAACAGGACTATAATTATCGCTATTACTAAACAACTAAAATAATTACCTTCATAAAAATCCCAAGCTTATTACTAGCCAATTTTTTAAGGTACTTATAATAATGTATGTACATATGTAGGAAATATTTATATGATCTTAAAAGTTACAAGCGTAAAGCGATGACAGCCTTATTAATTAGATAAGTGTAAATGCTATTATCAATGCATACACTTTATACCGAAATTATCAATGACATTGTGTAATACGCAATCAAGCCAAGTAAAGTAATGCGTGTACCTTTGTGTATAAAGGAGTATGGACCCGCCCAGATCTTAAGGCGTCTGCAACTACCCAGCTGCCTTTTTCTGTACTTTGAATATCCCTGCAATTCTAAATTTCTTATAAAATCATCAGACTTCCTCATCACATCAGCCATGAAGAGAAATGCAATCTGAATAAACCCAAAAATCATTAAGGTCAGCATTATCTCAAGAAATACAAGAATGTATGGGATACTCCCCGTCATTTTGATGATCATGTATCCCATTATAACAGCAGCAGCCGTTAAGAAAAAGGTACACAAGGGCAATATGTAACAAATAACTTGATTCAGGACCTGATTAATTATCTGAAGTTGACGATAAGTCCTCACGTTGATAACGTATCTGCCAATATTTAGAAAATTAGACTGCCCAGTGCCGATCGCAGTTATCTTTTCCAATGTCCTCAGGATCAATAAGAATACATTAACTCCTTTAATTGCAAGCCCAAACATAACAACGCTGGTATGTAGTAATGAAGACGAATTGATCACCAGCCTGCAAAATAATTTTAATCTAGAAGAAATAATGGTAACGTTGCGAAACCAGAGGTAGCTAGGGTCCAGTTTTGGACGTAGAATTATAACAATAATACAACTTAGCGGTGTCCCAATAATATTGCTTAGAAATCCGTGGAGAAATACGCCAGTCAGATTCACCGATTGTTTCGAATTGCCTAAAAATAAAATGATTTCGGGAATTATTCTCTTTCCTCATTTATTTACGTATTGCATATGTATCCATTTATACAATAGTATAAATTTCAAAGTGTTATTATTATTAGAAAGTCCAATCGGGTTTTCGAAATTTAAAATTGCCGTGGTGATATCCGAGGCTAGTATTTAGTTCGCAGAATATTTTTCACAAATTTTTCAATGGGAAAAGCCCATGAGTCTCTATTGGTTACCGAAGTTTGGCTTTTTGAAGTTTTGAAATTTCTTATGTGGTAAATTTTAAACGCAAAATTTCTATAACTAATGGAAATTTACGAATTTTACCCATTGGAAAATTCGAGGCATTTGAATCAAATTTTTTGAACTTTTTCATTTGCTAGTGTCTTCACTTCGTTGCTTCGCAAAATTCGAAATTTCGAAAAAGTCTTGACTGTAAGGGCTCAGTTTTGTGGAATGTATAAGAACTTAATTAAATTATTATTACTTTGGCATTTACCCTTAATTCTCAACAAATTTCCAATCACGAAGCAAAGCTCCTCCACTTGAGAGTGATAAGTGCAACTAACTGTGGTTGAAAGAGTGTAAGCAGCACACGACATAATGAGGATGAGATTCATGGCTGCAGAAATGTCGGGGTCTTTCTCGTGTGAGAGTAATTGTTTAAACAGAATGAAGTAGAAGTTCGTTCCCATCATGGCGCAAATTAATGAGAAACAGTACCACGGGATCAGTTTTGATCTTGGCGTGGGTTTGGGTTCCCATGAAGCCCTGTTAAAAGTTAACTGCTGGGGGTACAGCAGGTCACTGAATTTAACGAAATGTTTCAATGCGTCGAATGGAGTGAGAGTGTGTAACACAGCAATTATTGGTGGTCGTTTTGGCAAAGTTGACATGCTGGATGGACCCTGTTTTGGAAAACTACTGCATATCAAATTAGCAGAGTACAGGTGTGTTAGCACGGAATTTTTAGCAAATGGGGGAAGGAGACTTGTGAAGGGTGGCATGATGATTGGGAATATTTGACAGTAAGTCTTCCTTTACCTGAATGGCGTTATGGCTATGGTAAAATGCTTGAAAATCGATTTATTCAACTTTTACAGGTTATGATTGATAAGTGTCTGATTTCCAGTGCTACATATGTATGTAGACTGTTCCAAACCTTGACACAAAAAATACCCATAATCATATGTCAATTTTACAATGCATAATTTGCATCTTTACTTATATCGCAATTTAAATTGATAGTTGACGAGAATATTTAAGTCTTTGGACTCGGAACAAATAATCTGATAAGCACCACTTTTGACAATTTAACCCTCAATTTTCTGTGTAAACCATCATTAAATCGTTTTTAACTCCAGACAAAATACTGGTCAAAGTGCATTTAACTAATTTAAAACAAAAACTCCTGCGTTTAAAACTAAATATTTTTTGTTAAGGCCTATCTGGTTGGTTCCTAGATGAGATTTATGATTAGCACGCGTGATTGTTGCAAGGTCGCGAGAATTATATGGCAAGAGGTTTACAAAAGCTAGAATATTTAATGGTTGACTCATATTTAAACGTCGGTGATATTTATACGTAAATGAATTTGAACCTCATCGATCTTATGTATTCACAAACTGTTATTAGGTTTTATATGTAATCTGGTAGAGTCACAGGGGCAAGACTGATTTTTCTACCACTTGGAAAAGCCCCACAAATCTATGGGCATAATAATATAAAGTATGCACCAAATACTCTTTACAGAAACAAAAGAACAAACGGCCAGAAACAAATTGCTGAAAATTTCGTTTCCTGATGTTCATTCATGTTCTGCCCACATGTACATACACATTGGTTGTATTAGATTTAAGAGAAATGGAAAGTACTTACACCACAATTAAAGAAGAAATGTCCTCATGATAGCAAAATTCGACTGTAAAGCATGCATTGTTTTGTGGATGTATCGACATACATATGTATGCAGATTTTGAGTCTATGCTAAAGACAACCGCATTTATACGTACACATATATGTACTTATGGGTGACATATGTACTTACATATATACGTATTTTATATTTACATAAAAGAAACCCAAAAAAGGAAAGCTTAGATGAGGCTAAGAAGTGCGATAAAAAGTATTTAATAAATTTCTTCTCCAGTCAAGGATATAGAATTTTAATATTTCCAGCATCAGCGCCCCATTTGACTACCATGCACATACAAATATGCATCAAATCTCAAATATGATGCAGAGATAATTTTTAAAATCATGTGTTAATTGTTCTTGTCACTAAAAATTATGAATGCTTGCAAATATACAGAAAGTAGACACATGATATACAGGTCTGACCTAATAGACTCGACTCTTTTCCTTAGTAATATGTATACATAAACATGTTTCTTATGCAATTTAGTCAGTTTAAAATGAAATGGGGCGCTGATGCTGGAAATATTAAAATTCTATATCCTTGACTGGAGAAGAAATTTATTAAATACTTTTTATCGCACTTCTTAACCTCATCTAAGCTTTCCTTTTGTGGGTTTCTTTTATTTATTAGTTTTTATTTGTATTGAAAAGTAAGGTCAAAGGCCCCATGAACTCCCAAAAATGTCCCAAAAATCCGACTGGGTACATTTCCGATAACTTTTTCCCAAACAACGATGAAATTCAGAGACTTCATCATTCATCATTTTTCAAGAGACTCAAGCGTAGCCTAGATACTAAATTTCAAGCAATCGTGTTCTGAATTGAAAAGTTGCTGGGCCGACCTTAGCAACTCACCTTTGGGCGGTGGTGGGAGCGGTCACATTTCACCACCATCAAAACTTTCTCAGTTTTAAACCGTTTGGAAAATTTTAATTTTGTATTTTTATAGAAAAAATGTATCAGCTTTTTATCCGTGTACTTTTTTCATACATGCCTTAAATTTTTTCAAATCTCCAAAAAACACACTATTGGTTGGGTTTCTATTGAATATCTCATAAACCGTTGGATGCTTCAGGCGGCCAAATCAGGGCTCTACTTGATGTAGCCATAATTAACTCTGGGCAAAATTTCATTAAAATCGGTTGGAAATCGACGGAGATCTGAAAAAATTAACCTTTTCAGACCTGTAGTGAATGCTTACTTAGATGATTTTTTTCGATATAATAACTATGGCCTCATCTAAGAATAAAATAGTGAGCACTCAAGATGATACATACATACATGTGTATGTACATGTTTCTGCAAATGACACTTTTTCACTTTAACCATAATAATACAAACAATGTGTCGTATTCTTCATTTGTATTGTCCTACAATGTCAAATCCAATTGAAAGTTTACCTAGAAAATAAAAGTGGAACTTAATTAGTGCAAATATACAAAGTATAGCGACAAATAGTCGGCATACAATTGCAATACGGCCTACATATTATATGTACATATGTATGTGTTGTTAAGTTATAATATTCCAACTGTGAAAAATTAGGAACGATGCCAATTATTACTTACTTATTACTATTTTTATTCCATTTTCTCTTAAATTACACACCATACACGGTAGGGCTACTGGTACGTAATATTTAAATAAATCTAAAATACGATTAAATACAGATTGAGCAATACATACAAGTAATAAATATAGTAAGTTAAATTCGTTTTAGATTAACTTCATGCATTTGTGTAAGTAATTAGCAATACAGTAATCTGACAGTAATCTGTCTGACAATGAATTAACTGACTGACTCAATTCTTCCCCATTTTCTCATTGTACACTTTTTTTCTCCCCGAAATACTCACTTTTCACTTTTAATCACCTCATTCACACTTCTCGATGGTGAGTAGGCACTTTTCCATACAAAAGGGAACAATTAAGGCATCTCAAATGGGATCGGTTTCTTCCCAAATAACTTTTGTTGTGTAAAAGTTGACAGAAAAACTGCACCATATTTTTCTCACAAATTTCACTTCCTCGCATGTAGAATGTAGCTCCCAATGAATGGTGGATGACCCAATTGCAGAAAATAAGCACAGTCTCATTCTCACCCCGACCTGTCCCACCCTAAACTCATCATGTCCTCCTCCCCCTTAAAATACCAGTAGCAAGCGGCCGCAATCAGTTTCAGCAACGTTAACCCCACCAATTTGAGGAAGAGCGGGATCAAAAACGCGAACAAGGACAGCGCCGTGAGACCCTTTTTCACCTTGAATATTTTAATTGCTGGGAGGATGTTGGGGATGAGAGCGATCCCGGGAGCGGGTGTTGTTGTCGGACATGCGGGTGGAGGGCAGTAGCACGTGCAAATGGCGAGAAACATGTCAGGATTTTGAGCCACAGGGCCAGGACTGGAGCAAATTTCGCCAATTCCGCCCGCGCAAACTAACGGGCAGGAGTCGACACAGGCTTGCCGGGCTTCGGGAACGTCGGGTGGATTTTGTGCGGGAGGAGGGCATAATCCCGCTGTGAAGAGAGGGTTGGGTGCCTAAAGAAGAAGAGAATTATTTCAGGTTGGCATATTTTGTACACATAATTAAATTTAAATTTCTCGGAGGTGTACAAATGTTAAATGTTTAGAAATATTATATAAATTCACAATTTTGCTAATATGTTGCATCTTTTGATCGACCTTTATTACGCTAATTTTTTCCGAATTTTCTGAAAAATCGCAATTTTAAACTCACCGCCACCCCGCACGCATAGCTACACTGACAAAGACCATCCCCAGTGCAGGTCGCCGTAGAAGTTGCACCACATGCAGCCGCACAATATGCGTTCCCGTCCACGCCAGGAAGGGCTCCGCAGCTCCTGATAAATGGATCTTGAGAGTCAACCTAGTAAAAAACGACTTAAATTTAACTTTATCCAGCAAGGAATATATTTATTTACGTATCCAAAAACCTTACAAAGTTCGCCAGAAAATTTTGAACCATATAAAATATCACGACTAATTTCCACCCCGTCATCTTCCCTCCTGCATTTTCAGCACACGAGAAATTAAACCGTCTTGGTCACACCAAGATTAATGTAAGACTGATAAGTTTTGTGGTGTAAAAAAATATACAAACCGCCGATCAAGTATTTTCATGAAAAGGCTCCGTCCATTCTTCTTAAATGCACAAATGAAAAGATAGAATTAAATGAAATCAAGGTGAATCTTCTCGTTCCTTTTGCAGATCACGCTTCGCTACTCGCATTAAGGAAACGAGAGGAATCTTCTAGACATCAAGTGATTTCATGGCGAAGAATCGGTAGTCAAATGTGTGTACGAATTTTTGCACATGGGGAAATTGACAGCGAGTGAGCATAGTGCTGAAGAATAGTGATGAAGATGCATTCTTGACACTGTTACGAGGTGTGAGGTTAGTACTGTGCCCAATTTTGCCAATGCAACGTGCAAATACAAAAGCCTGCTTAATTCCGCTTTTGATGGCTTTGTTTGTGCCCGTGATTCGAGAGCAATTGAAGAAAATGATGAGTAATGTTGGTGCTAAGTGAGGTATAAATGGATGGGAAGAAATAAATGTGATTTCTTTGTAAATATTGATTTGATGTGTAGGGAAGGATTAAATTGGACCAAATTTGAGAGACAAACCGTCCTTAATTATAGTGAATTTCTTGGGAAGGACGAGATTAAGTTGAATGTGGAGAATGGGGAATACCTGATCAATTTAAGTCGTTTGCGTAGGTTTTTTTTATTATTTTATGGGAGGATGAACTTAAACCGAACCTATTATTCTTGCATACTAGAACTAATTTTAAGTATACATAAGGATGTAAGTAAATAAATATGTATGTAAATATTGCTCATTTTTGTCAAATTTGTCAAATACTTTCGTTTGTGTGGACCACCATGAAATTTTTCTTACCAGTAATTATGCAAGCAATATCGGTCCTCGGAGGATTCTGAACCAAGGCCTTACGCGAATAAGAAAGTTGAAATACCAAAAAAATATCATATGTACAATTTAAATTATTGTGATCTGAAATCCTATCAAAGAGAGTGTCAAATGGTTCGGTCCTGCTGTATTATATTCGGAAATATTTCCACATGTACATTTTTCATCTCAATTAAAGTAATCAAGAACAATAATTGATGAGATAAAAAATTGGACCACAAATAAGCAATTAATGATTTTTTAACACGTTTGTATAATGAGAACTGTCATCTTTGTCCGTAATGAATATTTTGAGTAATCCATTTGAGTCTACGAACTACAGAATTGACACTGCTTAAAAATTATGTCATCTATAGCTGATCAATTCAATGCAAGGTAATTTGTTTGTATAACGTATGTAATAATCGTATTATACTATATATACATACTTGAGTTCATGTATTAGGACACTGAACATTCGATATACCAAGTTGACACACAAATGACAAATGGACACACAAGTGGAATAAAAAAACTTGTTGAAAAACTTATGTATGTTGCATAGTATGGTGGTTTATGAAGTGGGACTGGAAATGCAATTAAAACCCACGATGTCAAATGCAATTTTCAATGTTTACACATAATACAGGACACTAGTCACGTAGCTCGGAGGTCATCCATCTGTATCGTGTCAAATTTATTTTTCAATAATGCGAGACACATTTTACTCATAATTAATTTGCAATTATAATTGTAAGCCCAGAAACTGTCGTTTGCTTAAAGCATATAGTATGCATTAATTACTTCATGTGTGATAAAGGATTGAGCATATTCAGTTTGCTTATCTACAGCATCATTTTGGTGATGTGTTGTAAGGATTGTTATGTCAGTATGAGATTGGTCCTTGTTTAAAAGTATAAACGAAATACGCGTATTTTAATTACTCTTCTTGCCAGGACAAATGTCAGAGAAAAGTGATTCAAACAATTTTAATAACAATTCACAGAATGGAATAGATAACAGCGCTTCGTGGAACACTGGCCTAATCATTTATCAAATTCTGCCGAGTTACATAAATATTTAGCTCAACATACCCATGATCAACTTTAGTTTCAGTTTCACGATCTGTTGAAGAACTAACAAGTCATAATGAGACCCATTTTAATTTCAATTTTTCTTCAAATAATATCTTCTTCCAACTTAATTTCCGGTGAAACACTAACATTTACCGAATGCGGGGCTAAACTCCCAATACAAAGTTCAGGGTCATCCGCCGTATACGATGGATTCGACACTATCTACCTAATAGCCGGCTTTGGCAATGGTTCCGATCTAACCGACGTGTTAAAGTATTCCATATATAACGACTCGATACAAGTGGTCAGCCAACTTCCCGAAGGACATTACACCGGTTGCGGATTTAGAGCTGCGGACGGTTCCCTCATCTATGCCGGAGGGTACATGAGCGATTCGGTTTTCGTCACTGCGAATGAAACCGGCCCCTGGAGTTTCCTCTCTACGTTACCCGGTGAATATGGGTATAGCGGATGCATCAAGCACGATCCCTGGTCGGCTACCATACTTGGCGGGTGGTCTACTTCGGGATCCATAATGGAGTTGGATTTACGAACAGGATCCACCCAACAAATCACGACCGATGGACTTGACAACAGCTGCGTCTTGACGAACGCCGTTTGGAATCCAGAGACCCAGAATGCAACCGTATTTTGCTCCGTGGCTTCCTACGTGGGCGGATCAGTGCTCAGTTATCACCGACCGTCGGGGGCAACGAGTCAAATCCTGCGGTATACGAAAAGTTTCCACAACTCAGCCGTCGGTTTCGATGGGGTAAATGCATACGTAATTGGCGGTTGGCATAGCGAAGGCCTCCCAGCATGGGGCAATGAGATACTGATGTTCCACACAACGACGCATGAAACAAGGGTCGTCGACGTGGCGGGCATTCCAAGTTGGAATGGAAGCATTTTCGACGCCAGCACTGTAACGTATGTGCCCTACTTGAATAGACTGTACTTATTTGGGGGACGGAGCGATCTTTTTAAGAATTTGGACACAATTTGGTACGTGGACTTGGATCCGGTGAATCCTATTGAGCAGCCGACGCACCCGGATCCTGAGATATTCAGTTGTCAAGACAAATCCCCGGGGCTCTACCCACATCCAACCGACTGCGCCATGTCAATCGCATGCAGGCCGGATGACGACATGTTTGTGGCCAGATGTGCTTCACCCTTCCTTTACGACCCAGTTTTTAAAAGTTGTAATTTGCCGGAGTTGGTTGATTGCGAGCTAACTTGTCAAGACAGGATTGATGGAGCGTATCCGCACCCACATGACTGTTCTCTGTACATAAATTGTGCAAATAATGAAATGAGTGTTATTAAATGTCCCCCTCCGACATTGTTTGACCCAATTTTGCAAGTTTGTAATTTCCCTGAATTTGTTGATTGTGCGATGTCACGTTGATTATGTAAATAATTTATATCCTTTGCTCTTGAGTCAAGAGTCTTGACTTATGGTTAAAATTGATTTATAGAAATAAAATTGTTGTCGAAAAGTTCAAAATTTTAAATTAACCTGGGCTCTGAAAGTCGTCAGAGCATCCACAGTAAATTCATGCATACTTGGAATGTAGGATTTGATAATTATTTCCTGCTATGATTTCATTCTGAATTATGTAGCCGTGTAGTCATACCAATCTACAGTAACTTCACCTTTTGTGGTAATTTATGTACATACATGTTTGTGTCTAACCGATATCGAGTCATTCGATCATATTTCGGGTACCCACCTCATTTCATGGGGTACCTGACATTAACCAGTTATTAAAAACATGGGTACAATAAATATTTACATTTTCACTTCACATATATTGTTATTCCAAGGTGGGGTAAAAAAATATTGGAATAATAAGTGTGCACCTTTATTAATTAGTATACGTATTTTAGTATATGGCGTCGTGCAAGGAAAAATATCTCAAGTGCACAAATTGATTATAAAATTTCCAAATATGTAACTCAGATCTTTATTCCTCCATTTAATTCAGAGATTTGCATTTATATATACTAAAATCAAACAAGGTATGTACTGTGCGGGTGGAGCTTAGCTCGTGAAAACCCAGTTTTGCGCCTCAGTTCTCCTGTTAAGTGAGGCGCAACACTGGGTTTTTCACGAGCTAAGCTCCACCCGCACAGTACATATCTTGTTCAATTTTAGTATCGTTAGAGATGTACATATTATGTATCAGAATGTACTACGCATATGCATGTATGCTATGTATTTATGTGTACCTACATATATGTATGGAAAAATTGTAGAAACAATGTGTGAACCCTGAGCCAAACCTTAGCTTTTCATTGTTCAAATTAATAACCGTTAACGTTATGGATTGGGCGTTATTTATTTCCATATTTGCATATTTAAAAATTAAGAAGATTACCCCTCCCTACATACATAAACCAGATAGTTGTCTGGTACATTGCTTACTCATGTATGTACATATGATTTATTAAGGGGTCAAACCTCTTTATGTATAGGGTCTGTCTGTCTATCTGTCTGTTATGTCGCGCGCTCACTTTGGAACGGATTAGATTTTTTGAGTTGTCTTTTTTTGACACCATGGGGTCATGTTTAGTTCATTGAGTGACCCCCTAGAGGAAACGATCAAGGGGCAAGTCAAGGTCATTTAAGTTCATAGACCTTGAAATTTTCAAGGTCTATGTTCTATTTCGGTCTGTTTCAAGGTCTCAAGTTGATATTCTAACGTTACTGGTCGTTTTTAACTACGATGACCCTGTGACCGTGTCGACGCGTTCAAATTTCAGAATTATCAGAGTGTCAGAATTTTAGTTCTTACTGTTTTACATGCTATTTAAGGCAGGGATTTCAGAAATGACAACGATGACCCGGTAATCTTGTCGACGAGGTCAAAACTGCCGAAGTTTTATTAATCTGTGTTAGATGTTAGACTTTTGACCTGGGGTAAACTTTTAAGTTTGTTACTTGCTTCACTCCTTCATACGGTTTATTGCATGTTGACATGGATGGTCATATCCATGCAAGAGGACCAAAGGTACCTGAAGATAAAAAAATTGTAAAATTCTTGATTTATATGTTCAATTACATATTACGTATAATCGATGGATTATTGTATGTATGCAACTCAGAAACCGGTTTAAGCCATGTCTAAATTATTATGTATGCAAGTTCAAATGACTGGGTCACGCAGTCGTTAATAAAAGAAGCGAGAATAGAGTATGAAGTTCTAATTTAACACAATCTACATTTTCGAACTGTGTGTCAAGCAATAATAAAGTACTAGCAAAGTCTGTTACCATGACAATTAAGAATGGGACATTGGTGACTTGATTATACATTATAGAACAAATTAAATCCCATTTTTTGTGAATAGTTTATTTATTTACATATATTTTTTTACAAATTTGAGGTCCTTATCCTGATCTTGGGTGTTGTGACAAGTTTGGCACTTCCAGTCAAAGTCATACCTCATCAAGTAAACGGTAACTGTAAATTCTGCATCATTGTTTTCACATAGTGTTTCGTTATAAATTGAATTGCATTTGTGTTTTCGCATGCATAATTAATTAATTTGCAGATATGCATACTGATATAAATATGCATAAATATGCACCAAAATTTAGTGATAATTGTATTTATGTAATTACGTAATCTTACGTGAAAACAGAGTCATCAATGCCGTGTAATACATAGACAATTTTGCTTCTTTTAAATTCACAGAAATTTTAGATACTGTCCCCTCCGTCGCAAAGTTGCCTCCAAAGACCACCCAAATCTCTGCCAGCACATCCTCAAATGACTTGGTGTGTAAAACTTTACATCAAGACGTACCATGAAGGTTGCCTAAATAAATAATATGGTTGGTTTATGAAAACTTTTTTCCATTAGAAACATACAATTAATCACCCTCGACTCGTAGAAGGACAGGCTCATCTTAAGTCTCAATCCAGGAGGAAATCGCGTCAGCAGAATAACATGCCATTTATAATTTATGGAGGATGGTAAGTTCGACAATATCTAAATCAGTCGTATTTCCATATGCCTCCGAATACAGGCTGCCTGGGACACAGGCACAAAAATAATTTCTTAAAAATGATGTTTAGGGGTAATTTTTGGACAGAATGGAAAACGGATCGGTAATTCTGTGGAGAAACCCAATCCCCACAGAATTACGGATCCGTTTTCCATTCTGTCCAAAAATGACCCCTAAACATCATTTTTTAGAAATTCCATCTCCCAGGCACGGTTAAAGAAAAATTATTTTAGATGGTTAATGTCAAGAACTTTATTTATTTAGCTCTCCATACGGCAGCTCAATGCTGGGGGGTTATCCTGGGGTTCAAAGGATGTGGCCTCCAACGTGGCCACAACAACGGGGCCTGCACAATCTATTTGGAATAGGTCGACCCCGAGGTAACCAACGCCTGGCAGAAACTGTGGGTGCAGTGCTACCTGCGCTTGAAGATTTGCTGGGAACTGTCATCCTCCATCGGTGAGGTACACGTGCATATCATTATTTATTAACTGGATAGAATTCAGATAAGCCGTCACATTGAAAAATAAAATAAGCAGTAGGAAAGTACAAATTGTACAATTCTACTTGAATAGGCATGATTGAAAACTTGTACATAGGTTATTTATTTCAACTAATTTATAGAGTCGTGTGAGAAATTATGGATTAAAATCTTTAAATTTAATGTTAGATGAAATAAATCATTTTACTTATATGTACATACATGTTTTTTTCTAACTAATTTCGTAATTCAGAGTCCGTAACACGCCGTGTTCACTAAATTAAAAACAACAAATTGGAAATTTTTGCACGCAAAACAGGACACTTTTACTTTAATGGCAAAACTTAAAAAAAACTTTGCATTTTAAAATGTTTGTATATGTACATGTGGGACAGGATATTAATCATGTTATGGATTTTCGGAGAATTTTGACTAACTTAATGTGTTCCATAATCTACTTGTATTATATTTGTCATCATTCTTCAAGGCCTGAACATTCCATCGTCCAACTCATCTGTGATCGAAATATAAAAATCCCCTTGTTCCCTGGGAAATAAAGAAATATTTAATATAGGGCTTTTAATTTATGAACTACATACATAAGAAAAATGTTAACTCACGTGACGTTCATATCCTCTCCAAACACGGCCATCCGCCCATCCGCCGTTACACCCGTCCTTCTCTCAAGGATTGATAATGCCCAAAATTTCGGACAGTATGCATGACTGCATTCAATATCTAAAAGTATGAGAGTTTCACACTGCGGCTGAATCTGAATTTCACGACTTATCGGCAACTCGTTAAGGTACCACTGGACAGTTCCGACCGAGTCAGACGTCCCCAACATGCCCATGTTACAGTGGTGAACGTCGACAAATTTGGCGTCATCGTTTCGCAATTGTCTCCCCTGAGAGATTCCAGCCTTCACGTAGAATAGCGGACCGGCCGGATCGAGGCCGGAAATTCGCCCAATTTTCCCTCCATGCTCAATAACATAACCACCGGCTGCGCCAGAAACGTGTGCACCGAGGGAATGCCCGATCACGTGGATTTGTGAGTAAGAACCAATTTTATGATTGGAGAGCAAACGCGTGATAAAAAGCCCGATCGTCTTTCCGACAGGGACAACGTGGTTTATGGATGACAAGTAATCGCCAATCCAATCTCCGGCGAGTTTACTCCAGTCGACGACGACGATATTGTACAGCTTGGCATGGCCGTGGTCCTTTTGTTTTTTGAGGTAAGCATTCTTCACGTTCTCGGGGAACCTGGAGGAAATGTTGGTGAGGAATCCGTGGATGAGGATTTTTACGGGAAGGGTTGGATTCCAACAGGGTAAAGGTGTGGAGAGCTGGTCGATTTGTAATAATTGGTAAACGTCTGGATTACTGGGGATGGATGATAAGAATTACTTCAACTAGTTATGTATAGTGATTAAATGGTGGACTTTGATACTTACTCTGGGTCTGAGAAAAGGCAAAAACGGACGTCCTCCGATAAATTTTGATTAAGTTGGGAGTATGAATTGATTTCGTAAATTTCATTTTGGAAAATGTTAGAAGAATTAGTGATTTGCGTAGTAGTGGGGACAGTTTTTGGGGGCAACGAGTTGAGAGCATCGCCACGTGCAAAATTCGACAAGAGGATAAAAATTGGCAAAATGCCGAGAAATAGTGGGCTATTTAGTCTCATAGTAAATAATGTAAATACAACTTTTAATGAATAATATGAACTTTTAACTGGAAATAAATATGTTTGCACATTCAATCGTTAGTTACATGTACACATACCTTTCGTACCGAAATCCATGCTTGGACAGTTTCATGAAAAGGGTTGAACAGCAAAAAAATTAAATGAATGAACGCATTCCTTAAAATTTAAGCCTTTTAACCTGAAAATGTCATAAAAGTGTAGATTTCATCCAAAAGAAAAGGTTTAACTTAAACCGTTTAAGTAACTAAATTTTAGAGTCGTTTTTCTCTTTTTTGAATGATCCATAAATAGTCCAGAGGCCAGAGTCATACATAAGCGCCCCATGTAAAATATGCACGCAACCAACCAACCAAAGGAGGACCTACATAACACCTTGATTTTTATTGACATCATTAATGCACCCCATACAAATGTGTCTAAATATATAACGATGGACCCCAAATTCATATCATAAAAAATATATACGAATAAGAATAATATAATTTATGTCTCAAGCTTGTTAAATAGTCTCACGTTAGTATGAGGAATTTGAGACAGTTTCTTGCATGAGCGGCTGCTGGCTCCTGTCAACTCACAAAGTAACCAGCAGGCAGCAAGCAGCAACACAACGATACAACACAGCAATTCACAATTCACAAATTGTGAATCACAATTAAATAGGACACGAAGTATTTTCAGCTTGTTTTTTGTATTTCAAATCTTTTGTTTACGTTTATATTTTGTTTTCCTTTTTAAATCTTTACTTACTAGGTAAGAGTTTGAGGCTAAAAGGTAACTATTTTTCCTTCTAGTTATTTACTCCTAAATACGTATGTGTAAATATTTTTTTAAAAATTCCATCAAATTGAATCAAAATAAATTCTAAATAGCCTAAATTCAATTAAATTTCCAGACTTGTAGTAAGATGAATAATCTACCATTAACCCCACCCACCAATGAAGCAACGCCTCCCAATAATCACGAGATTCTACGAAATGACGACTCTTCTGACCCGGACGAGGATCTTTTGGAATGTAGCATTTGTCTGAGCATTTTTGAAGTTCCAATCAATCACTGCAGCAATGGACACAATATTTGCAGCAAACACGTTAAAGAGTTGATGCATCGACGCTGCCCGTTTTGTCGGGTGCCATATCCTTCCGATCTCCCGAGAAATTTGCTTGTTGAAAGGATCGTTTCGCGACGGCTGGAGAAGAAGAAGAAGGAAGACGGACAGAAGAAGGGGGACAAAGTGGCGACTACTTTAGAGGCATCTCTTTCATCGCGAGATAATAATTTTGGTCCACCGACAGGATTACTGGTCCCCGATCGGAGTCAGAATTTAATCCCCGGACCGAGTAGATCGCCTTCGGTGGCAATAGCTTCCCCACCACGATCTCGTTCAGTGGCAACAGTTCCACCACCACGACAAGCTCATCCTCCACTTCGAACTTCTTATGCGCCATCAGCTGGACCTGCTCAAGGGACAAGATCAGCCCCCATCCCAAGTCGACGACAAGGCCGTGGAAGTGGAACAGCAGCGAATAGTGGGGGTGTGCTGCGCTGTATTTATTCCCATGAGGGATGTCCTTTCCAGACCAGAGATAGCAGGAGCCGCAACCAGCACGAGTATGAATGCGATCATCGGTAAGTTTGGACATATTGAATCTAATTAATTTCTGAAGTGATAATGCTAATAGATGTTGTTTTTTGACAGCCCCGTTATTTGCCCCCTCCGGTCGGATAAGTGTTACAACTCGGTCATCCCCTTTTCCCGGTACATCAACCATTTGCATGGCTATCATGGCGTGAAATTGTTCCGGGAATTGAATCACATTCACAAGTTCTTCGTGAAAACGCGTGACGATCGCCTAGTCAGAGGTAAGCCTGGCAGCCTGGCACGCCATAAGGTCATTCGTCACCTGACTGAATATACGATTATTATGTAGACGGCGCATCTTCAATGTTCATCATGGAAACTGGACCTGCAGAAAAGTTTGTCGTCCAAGTGAGAGAAATAAAGAACGTTGATGGAGAAGATTTAGATATTTTCCTAATCTGGATTGCGTTCCATGGCAATGTTGGCCAGGCGCCAGATTGGCGATTCAGAGGAAGACTTTGTTTCAACCTGAGCCCAGATCATGACGGTGTAGAACGTTCTATGGTAGGTCGTTGTATGCACATTACAATTTATTATTGGGTACATGGGATGCCTTTAGGTTAATTAATTATTTATAATTTAGTGGACTAATTTCCCCGATCTGACCAACGTGTTCGCTGGTGATGTCGTCGCGACAACGAGAATGGTTGCGGATCAGGTGTTGGTCCGCACTAAAAACTACTTGATGATTCCAGTCGCCGATATGAGGGCGAATTTGGAAACGGCGCAGCTCAGAAACGGCTTCACATCGAAGTTCTGGTCGCTAGATGTAACTATTACGAAGGCTGAAGGATACACATTACGATAACTATTTGGATGGCATGGTATTTTGAATCGCTAGTTGCTAAATCATTACAAAAATTATTAACCTTTGACCTAGATGAGAATGCGAATACTGTTAAGTCGTATTTGTTACTAAAACTTCACGATTTGACTTTTTGAATGATTAATTTATTTATTGACCTGTTAGTAGATTAGGATTAGAATTTTTAAAAGTATGTCATATTGAAAATTTACTAGCAAAATTAATTAAGCATGTTAAACTGGTAAAATCTGAAATCGTAATCTAATTGTTATCCTACTCAATTATGCACTTAGGATTAATGTAAAAATATTAGTGAATCTATATAGTTTTGCTCGAGCCCAAAAGGATGCAGCTAAATATTCTACTACTCTTGAACCCCAATGGACTGTCACTTTGCTAAATGTTGACCATGACCAATGTTATTAATGTTAAAATGATTCCTTCCGGAATTAGCTAAATTTGGCAAAGTGACTTTGACATGTGGTTCAATTGTACCACATTTGCCTGATACAGTTTACTTAGGGAGTGAGATTTCATAGGTAGATTAGATAGTAAAATGTACATACATAAAATAACAATTGATTCGTAGAGTAATTTTATCATATTCATGAAACACGAATATTCATGTGGTCAAATACTGTACTTTTGGCAACAGAAATGAATAATTATTGTCGTGATTTATCTCAATAAATTTTTAATAATCTGCATATGAAAACATTTATCAAATTATTTTCGCCATTAAATTCCTCGCCCTTGCCTTGATCGCAAGTCGATTACCGCAAACTACATATTTCCATGGAAAATTGCATATCAATGTTTTCCACGGTGTTGTTTTTCCTGCTTGGAAATTTCGTATTATGCAATGCATTTGCTCCATACGGATATGGTAAGTAATGATTTAACCAAATTTTCAAAAATATGGAACGAATTTCAGATAAGAGTCTACTCATATTAATTTGGTTTGGAAAGGAGGTGTGACTTATGAAGAGTTCAACCCAATGGAAGAGTCCTTACAAACGAGCATGTACCAGCAGAACTTTACGTATTGGATAGCCCAACATACTAATCTTTCTCAGACGGAATTAAGTTCAATTCCAGTCTCAAATCTGTCAGAAATCTTTATGCGAAGCGATTTCGCAAGTTTGGATTTGGCTCTCAAGTTCGCAAAATTTATGAAAATCAAGACATTAACGGCGTAAATAATTTTAGGGATCAATTTTTTTAGGGATTACACGATGTCAATACTGCTATCTAACGTCGGGCACGCATGCGTGGGGATTGATTTAAAGAAAAGTGAAATTTCTGCAATGTTCATCACTCCTGAGGTTAATCTAACAGGTAGGTTGATGCGTATGTACTTAATTAGGACTCGTTGTTGGAAAATTAAGTTTTTACTTACATTATGAAAAATGAAAACCAATAGGAAACTATGTCACAAACGGATCCTTGCTCAATGGCAGTATCCCATTTCAATCTACGGGAAATTGGAATGCGTCGCTATCTATGACGTGTACATTAAAGTCAAATTTTTATTACGTGAATGGTTCACATATTACGCTCAATACGCACGGTGTAGCTGGAAAATATCAATCTTACTTTAAATGTGGTACGTTAATTAATGTAGTCAATTTAAATTTGGTGGAAATTTTACAAATGAAGGGAAATTTCCAGGAAAAGATGATTATTATGATGCCTATGGTCGTACTCAAATTGAGTCAAGATGCGATTCTTTGACGAATACTCACAATAACAACGTGATGAATCAAAGGTTCATTGAGAAGAGTAAAATATTTAAGGATAAGAGTCCTAAAATTCATAATGTGTTTAAATGGTAGGTTTGATGGATTGTGGGACAAATTGGAGACATCTGATGAAAATAAAAAGCACTCCAAGGGAATTGAGAGGTACATTGAGAGATGGATAAGCAAAGGAATACAACGTTTGAGTGATACTCAGGAAGTCATAAAGGACAAATTGGGAATGTTTATGTTTAAATATTTAACAAATATTTTGGAGGTAAGGGAAATTTAATCGATTTGATTATACAATTTTTAAGCAAATATGTTCTTAATTTCGCTTATTTTTGATGTAGCAAAAATCTGTTTTCGAAATGATGGACTTTAATGCGAATCGTGGGTAAAATATGCATGCATGTATTAATCCTAAGGATCCATGAACTCTGTTCATAGCGGAATTAAAAAAATAAAGTCGAAATGTATTTCATAATCGTACAAAATTCGGGCAAATTACTTACATATTCAAATAAATGATACTTACAATGGGAGCGCAAACCATGTTCATCCGGGATATTTTTTTGACCATGTTAGTTTGAAAGAGCAAGTCTTTAGAAACAACATTTGGATAGGCACTTGGGCAGATGCGCAAAATTCAGCACATTACGGGCGCCACAAGTTCGCAAAAACGCATGATTTTTCATGCACGGTAGAGCGCGAGCCGAAAAATCATGCGTTTTTGCGAACTTGTGGCGCCCATAACGTGCTAAATTTTGCGCATCTGCGCAAGTGCCGAGCCAAATGTTGTTTACAAAGACTTCCTCTTGCAAACTAACATGGTCAAAAAATAATCCCGGATGAACATGGTTTGCGCCTCCATTGTTAGAAATTCTTAAATGAAATTAATGTAAATCCTGTACCCACTTGGAATTTTATTTAAAATGAATGCAAAATGACATTTTGTGTTCATTTTGAAAATGTATGTATGCGTACAGAAATATTTATTAATTGAAATCTATAGTTTATTTTTAATCTTCATTTCGCATACACACGTACATACATCTGTGCGTAGGTGCATATCTATAATTGTAGTGGGCGATACATTCGGTTTTCGTACTCTTTTCATGACAACTTAAATAATTCCTTGAAATATTAATCGGATTGACCTTCATTAGCGTTAAAATTCTGAGGTAGTTACTGTATGATTTTTTAATATAGACCCCTCCGAGATCAACAAACTTGGTGCAACTCAATTTAAAATATTTAAGTACTCTGCCCATGCATCTATATGAATCCTCGAATTATGTTGCAAGAAAATGAAAAAATTGCTGCTTTCAACTTTTTAAGTATCTTAATTTCTTTCCCATATGATATTTTTTCTAATGTCCAAATTGACAGGGTCACTTGTCTAGCGTTATAAACTAAATTACTAAACTAAATAGTCTCCATTTTTGCTTTCTTCGCGTGTCTTGCTCTTTTTTTGTCACATAGTAATCTAAAATGCATACATGCATATGTAACGTGTACGTAACGCCTACGAATTTTTGTTCGTGAATATTCTGAAGTACTTACATACATATGTACATATGTACCTATTTGCAAAATTTTACAAAAGAGTACCACGCAACATTTACAATGACGATTTGTTGGAAATTTGAGATAATTGGTAGAACAGAATGACCAAATGCACTTTGCTTAACACGAATTTCCGCTGCTTCTGCCACGACAAGCAATATTTTGAGACCGATTTTGCACCTCGTACATCAGTAATTTTTAATCTTTTAACCTCGCAACAATTCTAGTGCAACAAAATACAAAATGAGTAAAATTCCTCAAACTATTTTACTCTTCTCATTTTACTTGGTTATCGGAAATTTCCCTATTTGCAATGGATTTGTTCCCGGTGGAAGCAAGCTATTAGTTGGAATGGGAATGGGTTACAGTAAATAAAATACGTTATTAATATTCCTGTTTAATCAAATTAGATCAGTATTACCAATGCCTGTTATACTTCAAATTTTGCAAGGCTATCCGTACCCATCGCATCGAGAATCCACAGCACTCGACAACTACTTGAAGTCAAAACTGAAAACTGAAAACTTTACCAAACTTCTGCTGGCGGAAAATCCAGATAATTCATTAACACTGGAACAATTGGATACTTTGGAAATCCCCAATTTTTCCGAAGTTACCATAAAGAACAACTTTGTCAACATGGATGTGTCATTTAAGTAAATACATAAAGATTATATATGTAGCTAAAAGTCCCCATAAATTATGAACATCTTTTCCTAGGAAAACCACCCTTTCGAACTTTGGAACAAAAGTTGGCCCACGTTGCATCTCTGTCAATTTAAAGGAAAGTCAAATTTCGGTGGGATTTTCCGCTTATAATTTGATCCTGTCAGGTCAGTTTAACAGCATCATCACTTATCTTATACAAAATGCATAAATTAATGTATTTGTACTTGCATTGTAAGGCGATTATACTGCACAGGGATCCCTGTTGAATGGTAGCATGCCACTTAAATCCAACGGAAACTGGTCGACCCAGCTCTTGATGTCGTGCACATTCAATTCCAACTTCCATTATGTCAACCAATCCTATATCATGCTTGACACGGACGCAGACGCTAATATAATCGATTTTCGGTGTGGTAAGGGATATGAAACCTTTTGCGAATTTCGGCATACAATATTCTGGTCAATCATGAAACATGCAAAATAAATCTGAACAATGGATAATTCGCAAATCTAAAAAATTCTGAGCCCTAAATATTTTTTCCTCGTAATTTCAGATAAAGCTGGTGACATGTATGGTTGGTCTGGTAACGTCGGATGTGATGCAATGCGAGGGATATATTTTGCCTCTATTTACCCAAATGACGCAGAAAGCAGGTTCGTTCTACATAAATTATTCAGATGAATTGTTGGGTTTGAGATTGTAAATAAATATTTCGACCTAATGGATTTTACAGTGGTTTTGATGGTATATTTTCTAATATTGAGAAGACAAACAACGTGACTGGAGTGAAACGTTATGTGGAGAAGATGTTGCGACATGAAATGGAACCCTTGTCCGCAGCAAGTGTAGCAGATCGTGATGGAGTCATAAGGACAAAGTTTGTCCCCTTGTTTTACAAATATGTGACAAATTTGGCGAAGGTGGGGTGATTTTGGAATATCAGATTTTGTTTCGGCATGGCAATGTTTTTTAAGCAATTTGTATATTTTGATTTTTTAGGAAAAATCAGTTTTTGAAATGATGAACTTTTCCATTATGCAACACTTCTTTTATCCGAGACAAAATACCAGAGAGATGAGTCCAGCGGCTACGTCAACTATGGATAATTGAAAACAAGCATAATTCTTGTTGTTCTACCCATATTTATACCGCTGAGTATACGACAATCTTTAATAGCGACATTTTTCTCAGAATAAAAATAAATATTATTCAGGAACACTTTCTTCTGATAAGTAACGTTGATCTATTCAACTTATAAAAGTTTTGTTAGATTAGTACAAAATCATTTAGATAGGGAGAACCTTGTTCAGAAAATTATGTACTATAAAATCTTTATTAATTGAATCGTCAAGATTAAATCATCAATTTGACAATTTTTCGATAGTAAATAATCGAAATTCTGTGTTAAATTGTTTCCATTACAACTTCATTAAAATGTAGTTTGCAGTTTGTTAAACAATAAATTTTCTCACGTTAACATTTGCTCGCAAAATTTGTACCAATGTATTATTCAGTCATTGAATGATTAAATCAAGCTGCAATTTAAATATGAAGAGGATGACAGTTTATTTATTACAAACTCGTCGCAGTATATTTGCTTGGAGTTGACGTGGTAAATTGTGCCCGCAAATTATAGTGCTATTGTAAGTCAAACCGATATTGGAGATTAAATACATTAACTTGCTCAGCTAAAATGTCCATGTTAAAACAACTAACTTAAATATGAAATTTATGTAACAATAGATATGTAATGTATACGTCTTAATTAAACACTTAAAAAAACAGAAGGGTATCCATATCAGTCACAAATTAATCTGTAATAAATCTTTAATAAGTAAATGCAAACCTCTTAATCAAATGGAGGAATACAAATCTGAATTGCTTATGAAGCCTTCAAATATTCCTCCGTTCGAAAATTCTCCTACAACGAACACGTCCCTGCACAATGCCAGCATCCGTCACAATCATTGTGGGACGAGCATCCGACATACTGCAAGTCCCACATGTTTCCTCGCGTCGTCCAGCACCACTGCTTGTGGTCGTCAGGTCGAACCCCGCACCACGCCCAGCAGCGACCCTTGTGACACCCGTAGTCCTGACACCCGTACGCGTACTGCAAGTTGTCAATGCTCCCGTAATCCGCTCGCCGTCTCGTCCGATTTCCGGGGGCTGTTTCCTCTTTCTGAAAATCCGTACCGTCCTCCGTTGGGAACGACGCACTGTTTTCTGCCAAAATGCAGAAGATGACAACCCCCAATATAAGTTTTACAGTAGTTAGCTTCCTGGAAATTAAAAAATAAAATAAAGTCAAATTTTTGAAGATTTTGTAGTTTAAAAAAGCTGAGCAAGAAATACGACCTTACATATTTCTACTTTTTAATACCGGTATTACGAAAAATGTATTTTTTTAAAGCTTGAATTGGAGAAGATTGTTTGAATGATGAAGTTTTACAGTGTTACAGGAGCATTTAAATACCGGAGTGGACACCCAATTTTCGTAAGAAATTTCTTGGTAGAGTTTCGCTAAACATAAAATGTGTGACGTGCTACATAATTATTTTCATCGATTTTCATTCATTTCCTTCGTTACTTGTTGTTCCCATTCATTCTGATGTGTAAACATTTTCGTGTTATGCATATCGTAGATACTTATGAGCAGAGGAGTCAACAGCCCAAAGCATTCACATAAATGATGTCTTTTTATAACTGGGGATTAATTAACTTAGGATTAGACCTTGTAATCTACATAGACGCATTCACTCGTACAATGATAAAGTGTCAACACCGTCACTCTTTCGCTGGTCAAGAAGCAGAAATTGCTCTGATTATGTATGTTCTTCACAGATTTTTAGCGATACGCAATGATGGTAAAATTATGTATGCATATGCAAAAAAATGTAAGAAACTAACAACACTCCTACATATTCCCATTTATCCATGTTTTGTTTTTTTTGCTTTACTAAACTTGGTCTATATTGGATTAACACAACATATTTAGCCGTTGTGTTTAGAAGCTGTATTGCCCGTTTGCTTAATTTAATCATCTCATTTATGCAGATTGTGTGACACGTTGTTATCTCACCACTGAAATAAAACGCATGTTTATCGGAAAACAACGAATCTACTTGGAATTTATGAATCATATTTTGATCTTTAAATTTCGGACTAGAACTTTACTGAAATAAGTGACGTCGGACGATACGGGTATTTATTGCCGTAAGAAGTCGCCAATGGTCATCAGTTTTTTTTCTGTATTTCCCAAAAACCACTTCAACTACAAACCCAACTTTTTATAAAATCTACCACTCATCTACCACGTTTAAAAAACATCAGGTTTGCAATTTTTCAGTAATTGACATATTTTTGCAGTATTTGTTTCAAATTCAGCTTTATTTTTTTCAGGATGCTGAAAGCTACCATAATTTTTGTGGGGGTGGCGGTACTTTTGTGCATAATTCGAGACATTAATTCGCACCCAACTTTGGATATTGCGGACGCCGAGGGGGTCCTTGGTGAGGAGGAACATGGAAACAGAACCAAGCGATCTCTGGGCTGCACGAATTCCGGGTGTCACAGGGGTCACTGCTGGGCATACTGCGGGGCGAGACCGGAAGCTCATCAAGAATGGTGTTGGACGACGAGGGGAGCCACGTGGGATTTGCAGTACGTCGGATGCACTTCCGACGCCCAATGTGACGGATGCTGGAGTTGTGCAGGGGCGTGTTCGTTGTAAGAGTGGGAGCCATAAATTTGGTACCTTTAGTCATTTGAATAAGTATGTAGGAATAATTCAAGGAATGAGTATGACATAAGTAATATGCATGCGTGTATCTATCCTAAAAATGTATCATCAATTACCTCCCAAATTATGCATTATAATATTTTTTAGATTTTAATAGATTTTGAAACCATGACCTAAAAAATAAATGATTCTATCCAAAGTTTCCAGTATAATCTAACTGATTCTCATTTTATTTTTAAAAAATTTGTTTGTAAAGTGTACATACGTATGTATGTATGTATGCGTATTTATTTAGCTTGCACACTTGAACACAATGATTAGCATACATACATACATATAACTTTACTTAAAAAATAAATTTATTGTCGTAATTTATTTCTTTGTTTGCAGTTCAGTTTGTTTGTTTTACATGCAAGTAAATTAAGTAATAAATCTATTTGCTCAGAATATAAAAACACCAGAAAACGAAATTCTGCAGCCTAAACAAGACATCTTACACATTTTTTTCATACTTAAGCGTGAAAATTCTTGTAATGTGTTATTGAAGTTTTAACATTTTTGAACAACGCTTCACATCCAGCCTGACGACATGGAATTTTCTTTAACTGCAAACTTTTGCAGTTGTGTCGTTCATAGTTTCCCTTTTGAAACCAGGATCCCTCACATTTTTGACATGAGAAGGGTTTAACTCCTGAATGCATTTTGAGGTGATTTTTCAAGCACGAGGCGAACCCAAAAGTCTTCTCGCATCCTTTTTCGACACAGATGTAGGGACGTTCTTTGACGTGGGAAAGCTGCAAGACAGCAAAAAAGTAAAATGTTTTGGTCATAATTTGCATGAAATTATTGATTTCTGCAAATTTGTGAATTTTTGAAAATTCATGAAAATGTTTTGTGATCATCAGATACAAAAAGGTTTAATATTTATGACCAAGTATTTTTTTTCTAAGCAAATTTTAAATGAACATCGATTACCAAATGAAAATCGTGGGCTTGGCGAACACTAAACTTCTTCCCGCAGAAGTAGCACTTCATATCCTTTAGTTTCGTATGGTTGACGGTATGCGTCCTTAATTGATACTTGGATTTGAATCCATTCCCACAAACGGTGCATTTCCAGCTTTTTTCTCTATCTGTGTGCATGCTGTCCTTGTGGAGTTTCAGATTTGTAGAGGTGTGGCACCTGCATGACAATTAAGTCATCAAAATTAAGTCATAAATTTATCATGTCAATTAAAGATTTAATTAGTAATTAATTGGTCTTATTATTCAAATGATTACCTGAACTGACACTGATCGCAAGCAAATCGTTTAACTTCGTTATGAATTTTTGAGTGAGCCTGTAAATAAGCCTTCGACTCGAACCCCTTCTTGCAAATGGGGCACTTAAACTCTCTCTGAACATTTTTCACCCCGATGTGCACCAGTTTCTTGTGCGTGTCCAGTTTCAACTTCGTGTCGAAATCTTGCCCACATTTTCGACATTTGAAATGCTTCTCACCCGTGTGGACGCGTTGAACGTGAGTGTTCAGGCCGGACGGTCTTTTGAAAGTTTGCGTACACAGGTTGCACTGGATAGAACGCGTGGTCGAGTGTGAGATGAGGTGGCTGAAAAAATATGAGAATTAAATACTACCCGAAATTTTCGAAATTAACGAAATTTTAAAAAATTACCTCGCTAATTGGTCATCTCTCGGAAATTTTTTGCTACATAATTTACACTCGTAAGTTTTCCCCGATTGGGTATGAGATCGCTCATGTCGTCTCAAGATGTACACAGTTTTGAAAGCTTTTCCACATTTCTCACAAGAATGGGTAATGTCCGAATGAACGGTTATTTTGTGATTTTGTAAACCCTTTTTGTTCGCTAGGAGGGCGTGACAAATATCGCATTCTGATAAGGCACGTATCCTCTCTTTCGGGTGTACCTTTAATTTATGAGCGAGTAAGGCCTTTCTCGAGGGAAGGTAGGAAGACTTGACGCCACGGGGACAAAATTTACAGCGGATTCCGCTCCATTTCCTTTTCTTTTTAGAATCACTCGTATTTTCACTTTCCGTGTCGAAATCCGAATAGGAAGACTCTATCTCGTCGTCGTCTTCACTGGACGAATCAGATAGATTGACACATTTCGAGGGGGACAGGGCCAGGGGGTGGTGTTGCGACATTTTTAGACTGTAATTCTTGAAAATTAAGGCCGAACTTAACCAAAGTTCCGAAGAGTTTTAATTTCAGCACTTTATAAATATACTAATTTATGAAACAAGTAATAATCTGTATGTGGAAAACAGAAGCGAGTGGGGCAGAAATTCTAATTCAGAATGGAAAAAGTGCATGCATTTAGTGTAGACTTTATTCCAAGAAAATGTCATTCTATTTTGGATGCGGCTGAATTGGGTAAAGATTTTAACACAAATGTACCATTTTACAGAAAAAGGTAAATTGAGGAAAACAAGTTTCACCTGTTACAAATTAGTGACAGGTGCATATTTTATTTCCATATTTATGCATGTACATATGTATGTATACCTCCGGGGAATAAATTGAGTTGTAATGTTGAAATAAGTTTAGTAATTAAAATGTATATACTATAAATATCACTAGTAAAGTGAGAGAGCATATGTACATATAAACGGAAACTCAGGATCGGACTATGCACATGTTTTATGGCACAAATTCTATTTGTCTTCCAGACTAATAAATATGAAAGCCAGTGTCATCTTTGATTTCTTTGACGGAGAAAAATCAAACACATTACGATTTATATCAAGCCGACGAGGAGGATGCAAAATTTAAAAAAATAAATTCTTTGCTACCAGTTTTGAACATTTATGTATTTATGCATCATTTATGTAAATATTTAAATGTTGCATGTACATAGTAGCCATGAGTGAAAGTCTTTCACCCGGGTTTGAACTGGAAAAATGACGCTGCTTTTACTTGGTCAGTTCGTTGCCATGGGTGCGGATGGGTTGCAGGCCGAGTACGAATTTAATTCCGTCCCCCAGGCCGCCCAAGTAATCCATGAGGCCACGCCCACTCTGATGATGTACCTTCCCCGCTAAATTACCAAAATTATAAAGATATTATTCCCAAAATTAAGCACATTTTGTATCAATATACTGTTCATCCAACCTTCGCCACCTGCTGCATGTTGTCCTCCACCTCCGTATTCCAGATCCTCACTAAAATCGTCGTAATGATACTCGGCAATGTCGTCGGGACCATAGTTATCCTCGTATTCTTCCGAAGAGGACGATGACTCCGAGTCAGAATAATCGTATGAAGAAACTGTTGATAACACTGGACATTACAAAATTAAGATTTTCAGATTAGGTTCAACTGGAGTAATTTTATTGACCGATTTTTTATTTTTATTTACCTGAGAATATTAAAAGGTAGAAAAGCAAAGAATGCAGAAGTGCTTTAGCCTCCATTTGTTACCTTTTATCTTAACGAGGCAACAAGTTGAAAGGATTGTTTATATCGTTAAGTGTTGATGTCAGATGATTTAAAACCCGACTGAATGAAACAGATTGCCTAAGAGATTTTATAGTTAGTGAATTGGTATAGGAAATGTTTTGCAAAGAGGTCACTTGTTATTTGTATACTGATGTTGATGTATTGTGTTAAACTTATAGACATAAATAAATAGTGTTGATGGATACGATTTAATCGAATTTGAATAATTTAGTAAAAACTGTCCTCAGAAACCTTCCAAATTACAATCTAATATTGTTCATTTATGTGCATGCATACATTTACATAAAGGAAAAAGTTATAATGAAAGTTATAATAATCTTCTCGTTGGTTTTCCCTTTTCATTAATTTGCATACTTCATGCATACAAATGCAGGTTTCGGGCTTTCGTACATTGTAGTATTTTGCACACGAAACGAAAGAAATGTACGAACAAACATTCGTAGGAACAGTAAATCAGTTAATCGTATTAGTCAAGAAAAAAATACTAAAAAGCATCCACAAACGTGAACCAAGGTTTACAAATTAGAATTACATGTAATTAACCACACCGGGGTATAACACATTTTAATACTCGTTTTGACGACAAGGAAAATCAAGATCAATATGCCTATTTAGTTATTAGAGATTAGTTTCATCAGAGAATCGTGAAGATAAAGCATACATATTGTCAAAACTTGTTTATATTTTCGGAAATATTCGGTCATACAATTTGATCCCAATAACGCCACTTCCTTCGTGCTCAAAATGCTGGAAATAATTTTTTTAAATAACTTTACGTTTACAATGAAATAAATATACTCAATTTGAGAATTATCTTCCATACTAAAAATCTTGTAAAAAAACTTAATATTACGACACATACCATTTTCAGATGATTATCTCCAATCGTATATATTCTTCTGGTATTTGCCACCACGGGGTGAAGACTTTCCAATATATATTCTCCGGCTTGGCTCCTGCTCACAATTGTCTGAGAATGGATTCAGCCGAATTTACTCATTTATTACAAATTGAACGTATTTTATAATGAGGCAATTAACATATATTCCTATTTCCTTGGTAACAATGTGCATAAATATGTATGAAAAGTTTCGATTCGAAATGGTGTAAAACCCGTAAACTTGCAAACCTTTACGTAATTTTCCAAATATTTAGAAGGAATTTTATTTGTTAACATCGAGAACATGTTAACATGTTAACAAGATTACTCTCATTCACACACAGTTGAACTTTTACAGAAGTTTAGAATTCTGATAAACTAATCCATTGTCAGTCTCAATTTCCCTCAAATTATGCTGACTTCGAGACTGCTACTCGCGTAGTTTCTCAGAATTCTCAATTTCTATAAAAGTTCAACTGTGTCTGAAATTCAGACTCTGAATGGAGATTACGTATATATGTATGTAGATTTAGGGCATCTTTTTATTTTTTAAAGTAGTTTGTAAGCATTTTACGGATTTTGCGTAGCCAGGAAGGACTTCTTATAAAAATATCAGCTCACATTTTGTGTTTCACCGTGCGGCAAAGTTTCCAGAAAACGTTCTCCCACTGGATAATTCGAGACGTAGATTGGGAGTAGTGGCGTCTTTGCAGATATTGAAAGCAACTTTGTTTGTTGTGTGATCTTGTAAAAAAATATATTAAATGCTTTTTGCATGATTAATTACTCAAAATAAATATTCACTAATTTGATGGATGCATACTTGTAAAGTGTGGGGCAGGAAGGAGAATAATTTTCTCGTAATATATCCAACACCTGAAGTAAGGAAATTACAAATTATGTAGATGTATGCGTTCGTTGGATTAACGCTTCTTCCAGCAAATTCTATACTATTTCTTAATAAAATAATTGGTTAATTGATTTACCTGTAACTCTATAATACGCGTCCATATTCTGCTCCTCTACAAATTTATACGTCACTGAGTTAAGGAAATCACTCCCTTGGTACACTGCGTCCGATATTTCAACAGACATTGGTAATGCGAATTTGTGGAAACAGTTAATGTATGTTAAAATAATTGGTGATTAGAAACACAAGATCATTTCCTGATTGGCCAGATCCTCTAATTTTTATTCGGACCCAGAAAACTCGAACTTTTCTAGGCATTACGACATTTGTTCATGAACAAGTCCATGTATGAATGCATATACTTCTAGTATTTTAGCAAGAATAATTGGCAAAAACCTGATCTTCATAACTCGTTTTTCCACTAGTTTGCTGTTTGGCGTACGATATATACAAACATTGACTGATAATGTGCTGATTATGTATTTTATTTAGCTTTCCGTAATTCTAGGAAAGCTCACAAGTCCCAACTAAAAAAAATATAAAACGGTCCTGCCCACTTTTTAACTTGCAAAAAATGTATTATTTTTGTGCACTAATTGTATGAAATTAATGTCCCACAAAAATAGGGTTGTATTTATTATCTAAATGGAAAATATCATTTCATACTATTCACATAAAAAAATTCATAATCCGAGTCATAAAATAAATTAGAAATATTGGTGGTTTTATTGATCGTTATTCCTCATAAAACTTGTGGCAGTGGCGGATTTTGTACCCCAGCAATATGAAAGACTCCTCGTGCCCTAAATTATTTGTGCAAATTTCTTGGTCATCACAGAACTCATTTATTAAAAATGTTAAATTTATTACCATGGTGATACATCCGCCCCAACAAGAACTGGGTTATTACATCGAGGATCGCAATATCTGTCCTTCAACAAATTTCCTATTACTTGACAGGAACATGCCATAAAATTTTTATACAGCGTCGCAGTATAAATCCGATTCGCAAACATGTGACTACACGCTCCAGGAAAACCAATTGGTAAAAAAATGACATCCCCAATTTCACACTTTGGTTGAAAAGTTCCTCCGTTCACTACGAAACACGGATACAATTAGGTCACAGTCAAACTGTTTTTTTTGTCAGATAAATGATTGATGCACAGAATATGTATGTTCATACCGATAAAATCAGCATCTCCAATTGCCCATTTTCCTCCAAGGATTCCAATATTCGTATGGATCACATCAACAAAATGGCCATCACCTCGGGCAAGACTTTTGCCATGAGCTGAGGGGAAAAATAGCGGTCCGGCAGGGTCCAGACCTATCAAATATGATGGCATCAAACACCCAGAATATATCATGCAAAACATTTAATTACGCACCCGTTAATCGTCCAATTTTTTCACCATCCATTAAATATTGAACTCGTTTCCCCGTCTCCCCAGCAACATGTGCTCCTATTGAATGTCCAATAATGTGGACATCATTAAACTCCAGAACCATTTCATTATTTAGCCAAATTATAAAACACGCAATCCGCTCCCCGACTATGTCAACAATTTTTAAAACGACTTCCACATATCCTGGCAGCGTTGTTAAAGGTGTCGGAATTATGGGCGGGGTAGACAATTTAGACCAATCCACCATAATGACATTTATGTAGGGTCGAGTTGCTAGATATGCTGAACAAATTAAAAAACTGGAGTTAATTGTTGAACAACTTGAACAATTAAGTCATGTACAGTGGAATGTTTTGTGCTTGTGAATACTGGTCATCTCATTTGCGTATTATGACGCATTCGTGAGAGACATGTAGTTTATCGAACATCAAAAGTCCGTATTTTCGAAATGGGAATAGTGAGATTTATGTAAATTAGGCGACACCCACAAAAAATTCCACTGTATAAGTGTATGATAATTTAATTAACCATCTTTCATTGCTGTTAAGAGGGGGTCGTCATTACTGTCGGTGTATCCATGAACAATAATTACCGTTGGGTGACCCCATAAATAGCTTGAGTTTTTTAGCGTGGTGGAATTATTGCAAACGATTTCAGTCTTATTTCCTGCCCTGTATTTGGAAGAAATGTACATAATTTCATCGCAAGATATTTGTCACATGTACCTAGTCAGGTACGAAATTCTTTGATAAACGTTTTTTACTGCAGTAAAATAACGGGTAAGAATTTTTAATTAAAATTTTCCACATGGATGCATAATATACCTGTGTATAATATAAAAATACTAAATATCCAAATTTCCTCTTCTAGAGCACACAAACTTACAAAATCTGATGGTAAACTGATCGCCTGGATTACGCACGGTTTCCTGTGAAAACTTATCCCAAGCCATGCGTAAATTTAACAAGGAAAATTAAATAATTTACACTAAGCAAAAATCATATATACCCCTGGCAAATAGAAAACGTCGAAGATCTCATCCCCCTAAGTCTTTGATGGCTTGGATTTGAATTAATCTGCTGGAGAAAGCGAAACCCTGTTTTTCTCTAGAAGGGGTTACAGTGCAAGCCAAGAATTACATTACCAAAGTTGCCAAACTTAGTGTAAAACCTTTGAGGTCCGGTCTATTGAAAAATAGAAACTGAATTTTTTAAAAGGTCACGGCTCAGCCATATTGTGCAAAAATTGTGGAAAATTGACTCTGAGCTCATTTCATAGATTTAATTTGGTCACAAAAATGCCATCGGTAATAGCAGACCTTAATCATCTGGATTTTGACTTGGGGCGTAAAATTGAGACCATGGCCTGCTCTAAAACTTCCACTGGTGCAGAAGTTTTCAAATTTTGTTTCTCAACGCTTGTGACCATTTTCCGGTAGAAACCGCGCGTGCTCCAAGCGACCGGCCGTCCATCAGATTTCTCAAGCGTGTGTACTCCAGGAGAGGAAATTTGGAAAGGTAGTATTTTTATATTATACACAGGTATATTGTGCATCCATATGGAAAATTTTAATTAAAAATTCTTACCCGTTATTTTTGTGCAGTAAAAAACGTTTATCAAAGAATTTCATACCCGACTAGGTACATATTTGCATTATGTAAAACTGCTCACCGTGGGAAGAGGAAAAATTTGATATCTTCAGGATTTGCGCTGACTAGGAAGGAGTCCACCATTTGGTGTGATATGGACAGAAGAACTAAGAATTTGGAGAGTAAATGGTTCCTAGGCGGCATTTCATAGTTTATGTTAAATTGTTAAATGTTACTTCTTGTATATTTAAATATTGAATTTGTATTGGTAACGAAATTAGGGGCTATGAATATGCAGCTTTACTACATAATATGAACACGTTGAACTTAAGGTTTTGCAAATTTGACAGAATGCAACGTGGCGAGGGATATTAAGTGTTAGGTAACTTCCCACATTCAACTGGGTTTGAACTATTTAATAAAAACTGAAAAGATTTGATTTGATGGCACTAAATTAAACCGGTTTTTTATTCGATTCGATAACAGCCTGAGTCGGTCTTGAGAAAATGTTTGTCTTAACAACACGTGAAGATAAAACGGAAATTTGTGTACAACCCTCCTTTGACCTGCGGAAGCGTGGGGGCTCAGGGAAACTATCCCCGCGGTTATTCGGTGTCCCGGGGACACCGAATATCCCCGATGACTGTCCCGGATGACTGTCCCCGTCATCTGCCCATGTTATTTTAGCTCACCTCAGAAAAAAGGATTCCGTAACTTTTCTTTGTACATTACGCTTACATTACTGTCCTGTTTCATACCTACACCGTAATCAATATTGGATTTCGTATTTGTCAACAGAACAGAACAGGTTTTTTGTAAGAGATGTGGGTAGAGGTCCAATTATTACTTTGCGGTACCAAGTAACTTTTTATACCCTTACATATATGAGACAAAGAAGTCGTGCAAAAAAATATCCAATCTGAATACTTGGTAGTCCTACCCCAGTTGTCGCAAATAGCAGTATTTACATAACCAAGTCGAATTAATCAAATCCTACATTGCTAGAGTATGTATTCCACATTTGGAGGCGGATTAAAAAATTAACACATCGTTCTTAAAATACATAACTAGTGCTAATCTAAATTGTAAATCACCCTTAATTAAAATGTATTCCACGTTGGCAAAGTATGCTGGTTTCGTGTTTCAAATTTGTGTAGCGTACGTCATACTAGCTCCACTGCTTGTGTGTGTTTTCGTCCTCAATGAATTATACCGTTATTTTATTATAGTTTTCCTATATTTGTGTCATGACGAATACTGCCTCGTTGGGAATGGATTGGACTGCATTTGTCTTTGGAAGAAGGATTACACATCTGAAAATGAAGGACGGCACGGTGTCATGAACATTGTCATGTTGCAATCGAATAGTTTCGATAATTTTACCATTCAAGATGAGCAAAAGTTCGTGGTGGAGAAAGTGTTTGAGAAAAATGGTGCTTTATTGTATGAAAAATTGAAGCAGGTGGTAGTGACAAAGTATGGTTTTGCATTGTGGAAGAAAGATAGTGGTATGTTTGACATAAAAAACCACGTGTACATATATCCGAGGACAGATGACCAAATCATAACGGAGGAAGTTCTGCTGGACGAAATTGGTAAGGAGTAAAAATTTCATGGATCGATAGTTTTTCGTCAGAATAGGGTTGGTAATCGGACTATATATCCGATTCGACCGGATTATCCGGCTGTGGCCCGATCTGAAATCCGTGGTATAGTAAACGGCGGGATAAAGAAATCTGATCCGGTTCGACGGATCGGGCATTGTCGGATCGGATCTATCAACCATATGAATTTTTTAAACTCTTCGATCGCGAAAAAAATATACAAGAACGGGAAGTACTCGTATGTAGAATTGACCTAATTAACTAATTAAAATCCACAGTACCACACCTGTCAAAAGGGATGAACGAAACTAAACCACAATGGGAATGGATTGTCATTCCGAAAGTGAAATTACGCTGTCACGACACCCCGCAAATGGTACGTTTGTTCCGATTTCATCACGCCTATATGGACGGTGGGTCTTGTGGGCTTCTTATTGGGGACGGTATACTAGAATTCTCGGACGCCTTGGGGAGATCTATTGATCGTCCTCCCTACGTTATTGATCCCCTGGCCAAACCTCTAAAACCAAAGGAACAAATACAAGCCGTTCTTGCAAAATGGTTAGGTATCACTGGTCTCCCGTTTTTCGTCATAGATCCAATTTTCCACCCAAGCCGATACCCAAAAAGCGATAAAATTGCGTATAAACCGGAAAAAGGTGGATCAGGATGTCGTAATTTTTGCATTTCGAGAAGATTAGACTTTGAGACAATTCGAGCCATCAAGTCATTCTCGGCAAGACCAGTCTCATTCATTTTGGTGGATTCTGTACTCAAATCCATATCCATTGTAAGTCGACACTTTCAATTTAATGTCTCGTCTTCTCAAGTAATAGCTTAAAAAATCTGTGAAGGTTATGCAGGGAAAGCAGATCTCCGACCCTGCCAAGAAATATTTTGATATCGCAATACCCATAGCACTCCTTCCTTACCGAGATCTTAAACCGAGGAATAAAACCGGCGTTGTCAGGCTGTTACCGGAAGCAAGAACAACCCAATTAAACGTTGGCGAGGAGACAAGTATCTCATCCAGAATACAATTCTTTTCATACTTTTACATCCTTAAAATAATTGGACGTTTTCCTGTCCGCGTTGTGAGACTTCTTCTCCATGGTACTCCGAGCAGTATCGTATTCTCAAATATGCCATTCACTACGGAACTTGGTACAATTCAAGGTCAACTTGTGAATGGGGTGGGATCATGGCCTTGCTGTACGGGAGCCACAGGTCAGTATTAAATACATACATGTAATGTCTAAAATTGGTGGTGAAGCTTTCCTCCAAGGTTTAGCTAAGAATTTGAAACACTAGATTGTTGTGACTAGTCAAAATCAGACTGTAAATCCAGCTCGTTGGTGAGCTAGATGCCATAAGACTAATGTTGACTCAGCACACCCCGGTTCGACCTTGATTTACAGTCTGGTAAAAATATTATTTTTACACGCTGCATCCCTGCATGAACGCCCCCTCAATAAAGCTGATGAACTTTGTGTTGAAAACAAATTACATTAACACGCGTCCATGACCCATGTTAATCTATGTACATATATTGTTGTTTTTGACCTTGCTAAATTTCATAAATTCGGGCCTAGACGTCTTTAACCTCAGTTAGCTAGGCACTGATACTGTGTGCAACTGTCCCCCAATTTTATTACAGAATTAATTACTCCTACCTTATTTGGCTTTGTTTATAGGAATAGCAATCTCAACAATAAGATATGGTGAAACGGTGTCATTCATGTGTTCCGTTGACGATACTGTCCTAAGTCGGGGTGAGACGCAAAGGTTCCTTGAAACTGTGGTGGATCAAATAATAGATTTGTCTCAACGTGGAAATCAGACTGCTTCTGACCATATCTCGATTTCTGTTTAATTAAGAAATGCCACGTGTGTTATGAAATGTTACAGCATGAGTTCGCATTTGTTGAGAATAAAGATGATTCTATTTCAATGTATGCATTTACGAGGTGTCCGGATGGTTTGTCTCCAACGTTCGAGATATTCTTGTTCATACCAGGTAAATAAATCTGTACGAGTAAGATACAATTTTTTTTACTCCATCAAATCGTAAGGTTTAGGAAGAAATTAAATCCTGCTCTAGAAACCGTATTATAAAATCCTAATTTCTTTCAAACTCCAAAAATACACATTCAGCTAAACCAAAAATTGTAAAAATTGATATTTTTCTATAGATTTATCGCATATGTATTACGCATATCCACTAAAATACAGTCCTTCTATAAGTAGAATTTGTTATTAATGTACGTACGTATGTATGCATGACATCGCACTATTAACGTGTGCTAAAGTTAGTGAAGTATATCTTGTGCTTCTGGTAAAACATTTCAGATATGTAAATACGTGTCAAAGAAAAACAGGTTATAATTTACAACCTGTAAATACGTTGATTGGACCGTACCAACCATTCAAGCACCAGTTTTTACGAGACCCTGCATTGTCCTGTAAAAGCCCTTCTCATTACACTAATGCCAACGAGAAGAATCCATACGATCATGTTCACTTTTCCATGCACTGCATGGCTTCATGGCTTCATGCATAAGATTGGCGTCTGTACAAATTTTTCATTTTGCAATATTGCCAAATCCTGTTTAGAATATATCTAACTTGTTCACCTTGCAACTGTATTTGGTCTGTGGACACGTGTTGTTGGAGAGCCATACTATTTTTTCTGGATACAAATACACTCTTGCTTTCGAATCATGTTGAACCTTGTGGTACTAGTTTTAACACTTTTAGTGATTTACTTACTTATAAAGTACCACAAAAGAAGCACAAGTACTCCACCAGGTGAGTGATAAGCAATATATTAATTAATATTAATCCAGCAATAAAAACTTATGAAATTTTTTAACCTAAATACGCGGCTTATTTCTTAATTCGAAAGGTCCCGCTGGATATCCCCTAGTAGGCAATTTACTTCAAATTGGTGCTCGACCACATTTATCTTATACGAGATGGGCAAAAATGTATGGTGGAATTTACCGGATAAAGATTGGATCTACAAAGTAAATGAAAACGCAAATAGATGAATTTTTATGTATCTTTCCCAGATTAAATTGTATGATGTAATGCATATCAATCATATTTTCAGCATGTTTATCCTCACATCCACAAGTCTCGTTAAGGAAGCTTTTAACACTGGGCTTGAACTTTCAGGACGAATGGAAATTAAATCGATTCGAGACATCTTTGATGATGCTGCAATAACGCATGGTATACAAATTTTGAATAAGTTTATAAATAGGTCAACTAATGGGCCAGATGTATAAAAATAAGTCAATGTTGTTGCCTCAAAATTTTAACGAACAAAATAATTTCCCAATGCAATTTTAGAGCAAAAGCATTTTCTTATTTTCATGCATATGGCCAATGAAACAGAGATGTATGTAATTCTTTCTTAAAGGAGTAAACGGAGCGGATGGAGAAAGTTGGAATATTTTGAGGAGATTTACGTTACAACAATTGCATAACATGGGGTACGCTGGGAAACGTATCGAGGAATATATTTTGGACGAAGTACGCCACATGCTCGGCGAGATTGAAGAATCTAATGGGAAACCAGTCAAGGATATTATGGAGACGTTTTCCCTTCCAGTGGTCAGCTCGTTGTGGAGAGTGATAACGGGTGAGAGGTTAACTCGAGGGGACGCCGAGTTTCAAAAGATGCTTGGAATGGTTCGCAGGTTAGCTGATAAGGGGCGGTTCATAACTTATGTAACACAAAAATCGCGGAATTCTTTAGACATTTTCTTGCTTAATTAAAAAATTGCAAACATTTTAGAGCAATTGATGCCATGGTTGGGAAAGGGAGCATTTTATTCTTGCTGCCGTGGATACGTCACGTAGCGCCAGAGTCGTCTGGTTATAACAATTTTCGCCAGATAATGGGAGAATTGAGGGATTTTTTCGTAGGGGTTGTTTCCAGACATGAGAAGAATTTGGATAACTCGCCACCAAGGTACACACCTACATATACAGTTGTACAGCGGTCGCGGAAATGTCGGACAGAGGGGACAATGTCCCCACGGTTTTTCAATGTCCCCATCATCTTCTTTTCATGTTATATCAGACCCTCCCTCCCCTATCCTAAAATGCTACTGTAATGTCTCCACAGCTTCCGTGGCCACCTGTTGCAGGAGTTTATTAATCCTTTTGATGTGACATTTAGTAACATGGTTCAAGCTTTTCTACAACAAATACACAATACATCTGATAAGGATTCTCACTTTTATGGAGATTTGGGAAGTAAGAAATTACGGGTTGACATTTTTGTTTGCTTATTGAGTCCTTCTCTTCTTTATTGTTCAGCGAGAAATTATCAAACGGCATAAAAAAGTGTCATCCCTAACATTTAATTCAATTTGTATTGGAACTCATATTTTCGAATTGACACTTCTGTAATTTATAGAACGACACTTGGTTGCCACGATGTTCGATATTATTGAAGGTGGATATTTTGCACTGACCACGGCAATATCGTGGTCACTGCTGTATCTCGCAGTCTTTACGGAAGTTCAAGACAAGGTACGCGAAGAAACGAATAACATTGTTGCAAAGGGGGAACAATGCAGATTGTCGGATAGGTCGAGGTAAGTATGTAACTGCTTTGGCTAATAAAATTGTGCGGGTCTTTTAAACAAAACATTTCAAATTATTCAAAGGATGCCGTATACACAAGCAACAATTGCGGAAATTCATCGATTTTCTTCCGTAACAGCGATGGGTGTACCACACCGGGCAGTGGAAAGTAAAAACGTTGGAAAATACATGATTCCCAAAGGTTCCTTAATCATTCACAATATTTATGGGATTCACATGGATGAGGAAATTTGGGGCGATCCGACCACTTTTAGACCGACCCGATTTCTCAACCCTACCACAAATGAATACATTATGAATGAGAATCTCATGCCATTCTCGTTTGGAAAAAGACAATGCTTTGGAAAGTCTTTTGCAAACGATACAATATTTCTTTTCATTACAAATATTTTAAAGCAGTATACTGTGTCTACCGTGGGAGATGTAACTTTAGAACCGGAAGTAGCTTTTGCATTATATCCTAAACCATTTGCACTAAAATTTGAAAAATTAATTTAGTAATAAAATTCAACTTTTTGAATGAGGCAAAGTTAATGGACTTGGGTTTCAATAATAAATTAATTAATGTGTACATTTTCTAACGATTGGGAGATCGCCACAGAAAACGTATGTATGTATGCACGTGTTTATCATTATTTATGTACATACATACGAGTATGTTTAATTACACCGTCTTTGGTAGTGTGCATCTCGGCAAGTATAAAATAGGACCGGAAGCGATACGATATTTCTGTGCGGGACGTTCCTGCAATTAGAAGGATCCTCCGCTTCCGAATCGTACACAAATCCGAAAGAATTCAACCCGTACAGATTTGTGGGAGAAAACGCAACGCTTGAACCGGCAGGACCTCCAAGTCTTACTGCGTGGGGCGGCGGAAGTCATCTCTGTCCAGGAAAATTTTTGCAATATGAGAAATTAAAATGGCATTGTTTCATCGCTGCAAATTTTACAATCTGTTTAGATCCTGCTGTTGAGGTTACAGTTGATTATTTTGCACCAACATCTATTGTCCGCAAGTATGCAAAATTCATTGTGAGTGAAAAAACTGGTTAGGTTAGGTTAATATGTTAATGGGTATGTACATACATAATAAAAAGTTACTGTTTTTGCGATCACATTTTTGACTATTTGCATAAATTGCCAAAAAGATTCATGTCATGTGCCTCGTAATTTATGTATCTACGAAAGGGTGCAATCTTGTCTGTAAGTAAGTTGTTTTGCTGGTGTGGATTACTTTCCTAACTAGAAGAATTGTTGATATGTACATATTTTTAGACTAGTTGAACTTGCAAAATGCTCACAAATGGAATCTTTTTCACATAAATCAGTACAGGAACCTGACACGTAGATTTTTCTGTTGATGGAAAACATCTAATTAATTGGGTACATAACATATTTTACAACTTTAGTACATTGAGAAAAACAAGCACATGTTGTTTCCAAAAACATTATCAGTTTGCGTGACAAGTTTTGACTTCAAACCAACCTTGAAACTCGATTGATTTACGCCTCAGCATACATTTGTTTGTAGGGTCAGTCAGGACCACTTTTTGAGAACAGACCCGGCTGCACGTGTATGCACAAATTTTATACTCGATAAATTTTTATTATTATTTTGTAGATGACATTACAAGGTTAACCTTCATTATATATAACTGTATAACTTAACTGTATAAAATCTGCTTTTCATCCCTTAATAAATTCATATCGCCATACATAAGACTAGGCCAAGTGAAATTAAGGACAAAATAAAACCCACTTTTACTTACTCATTGTCGTTTGACGTGGTTTCCCCATAAAATTGAGCATACCACCGCCTGAACATTTTTATATATTTATCCTCCTTTACAAGGAATGGTTTGTCGGTGAATGATTTCCTGTTCATGATGACACGGTCGCGAAGTGCCTGTGATTGAATAATGAAAATTAGGTTAGCATCGATGAGTCCCTGGTTTATGTAAATATGGAGTAAAATAATTAGAAAGAGCATACATTATTATGAATACCGTCCATTAATTGCTTCACGAAGCATTGGAGCATCCTTGGTTCGGCATAAATTCGGAGGATGGACCTAGTACGAAGCTCTCTGGAGGGGACGAGGCCTTGTATAATGACAAATTTTCCGGTGGGGGTAGACATATAGAGAAGCATTAGGGCTGGACCAATCTATTGGTGGGAATAATTTGTATGCAATATTTATACATTTCATGCACAAAGTCCTATGTACATGAACTTACATGAACAGCTTTCATGGTAGCATAGCCGCAATGAAATCGCTGAAATATTTCGATTTTGTGCTGCATCGTCATAAAAGCTTTATGGTTTTCGTCACATTTTTTACTGGGTGACCATTCTCCAGTGTGAATGTGACGAATATGACTCCTCTGGATCCAAGATTTCCGTACATCGCCGGAAATGGTGGATAGATCTGTGTGCACTTCATTCAAATGGGGAACGTCCGCCAGGTTTTCAGGAATATCCTGGAAAAGGATGAATTTTACTTTGTTTATAGATACATAATAATTTATACGGAGTATTTATTTTTTGGCAATAACTTATATTCAATTACTTGAATGTGGCATAATGTATCAAACACTATTCTACCCCGGAATGACCAGTTATCTCTGTCAATCTCTGGAATTTCTTCCAAATTCCAGGACGGCTCTTCATTTTGTGGGTACCAGACGAATATCAGGCCATACTTTTCCTGTGATTTCCACATTTTTGTGGATACATTTGACGGAACTGAAGTTATGTGTAAGAAAGGCATGGAAATATTCGTAAAAGGTTGAAATGAGATCAGGTAGTGAGGGTATTCATTACCAGTTAGCATCATTAGTGACATTAGACAAAAACAAAGTTCGAAACTTCGCAAAAAATTTGATTTGAAAACTCATTTGCGAACTTTCCCATCTTCAATATGCAAGTTAACCACTTCAACCCTAGGAGACGAGTTTTTTCATACCTTTCACCCCTAGTAACCGCGAATTTTTACCTCCCTTGAGCCCGAAATTTTTATCTACTGCATGACGTTAATTCCTGGGCCATGAATTAAAAAATGGTGTTCCCACCGGAATTATTCTGGACACTTTTTTATGAAAATTGATGTGAATAACCTTTCAAGAAGGGATTTTGAGTTATAATTTGCATTTTTGAGTTGTGGCGAACCACCAATGTTTATAGCCGAAAATAGCCAACACGCCGAATTTTAAAAATGATTGTAATTGCATGAAAAGTTAGACAAGCATGGAGTAATACTTGCATAATAGTACGTAAACTCGCAAATATTGATTATAGCGCCTAAAGCGCCTTAGGAGCCGATTTTGGGCGGGAAAACCAAAAATCCTTACAATGACTTTAAATAGACAGCAATGGCAATGAATAATTATCCCGTGAGAGGAAATTGCTCGAAAATAGACTATGGCGCATCTGGTGAATAGAAATCAATTTAAAGCGGGAAAATTAAATTCTACTAATTCCTGCAATCTCTTAATTTTTAATTTTCCCGCCCAAAAGATATTTCAGCGGCACCCGATACGTAATCATTAATTTTGACGTAGTTTACCCTACTGGCAAGATTATTTGTCGCCTATAATTAAATCCATGCAATGATGGAATTCAACCAACTTTTAGTTTTCTCGCCCAAAACGCCCGTTTGTGCTACATGCGAGCAAAACAATTTCTCTAATCTTATCGTAAAGCGTTGTTGAAATAAATCGGTGTCGAAATTTCCGTGCAAAAAACAGTTTTCACAACTCGGCGTGTTGGCTAGATATAGCCACTTGGCTATTAATTTATTTTGCATCCCTTTCTAATGTTATTTCCTAACAGAAAATTTATCTTCCCGCCTAAAGGGCGGGTTGTTGACTCATAACTCTTGCTTTGCTTTGCTTGGAGAGGCAATGACCTAATTTTTTCCGGATACGACACATAGTCGTAGACCGGTGTGAACGGAAAATACGCCACATAGTCGTATCCGTTGTCAAGGGTCAATACGACACATCGTCGTATTCCGGTGCCAAGGGAACTTACGCCACATGGTCGTACTCGGCGTAAAGGTCAAATACGCCACATAGTCGTTATAGGGGCGAAGTGGTTAAGCTAGTTTGCAATTTTTGTTTTCAGAATTATGTTGCGAATGTGCCGGCTCGTAATGAATACCCTCAATATTCAAATAACTAATTAATACACACGTACCATCTTCTGCGTATGGGATATGCACTAATTTTCCGTTCTGACTTCCATCATAACACCAGCCATGAAAAGGACACTTAATACATTCCCCCGAAACCGAGCTACCCACGCCTAAATGTGCTCCCAAATGGGGGCAATATCCGTCCGAGACATAAGATTGACCACTGGTTCCTCTCCAAGCGACCAGGTTGCAGCCTGCAAATTTTTTTTACCGACGATATTTATTTATGCTAATGGCAAGCTACGAAATACACATACGGTGGAATTATTTATGCGTGTCACTTCATTTGCATAAATCCCAACATCTCCATATTCGGTGATACGGACTTTCCATACTAAATAAACTCTGTCTCTCACGAATGCGTCAAAATATGCAAATAAGGTGACTAGCACAAATGATTCCACTGTAGTTAAATACGTGTGATTTAAAACTTACCAAATGCATTAACTTCTAATACTTTCGATTTCTTTAAACTGTCCGATTCACAAATGGGAATCCAACCTTTTGGAAATGGAGGTGGAAGTTTCCCATTTTTCCTTGCCCTCATTAGTTCATTGATTAAGTCTCTCTTAAATGTGTTGCTTTTATAGGGGGACACAGCATCCTCAAATCCGGGTTCTATACGTTCCTAAAAAAGTATCTAGTTAATAAGCCGAATGGTATTTATGAAAAATATATTTATTTCGTTTTGACTCACGGAAATTATTGTGTATGGAGATTTAAAGGAGTATTTGTAAAGCGCAGTTAATAGAGCAGAAACAAACAAAAGTAAAAATATCCACCAAATCGAAGTATTTTCATGTTGATGTTGAGATATTAAATTATGTAAAATATTAAAATTGTATTTTACAAAGTTAAAAAAGGGGTCAAAATCCATTATGTCTGGGAAAACTTGTTCAAGCTATAGTGCAATAAAAATGCGTAAATTTTGTAAGTTCAAGATTTGGTTTGTTTTCATTACCAATGTCAAACATGTAACCATCTACCAGCACGAGTTTTTCGCTTCAAGTCATAACTGCATGGATGACAAATTATGTAGATTTTGTCGTATGTACGCAGCTATGAAAAATACATGCATGAAATGATGACAAGTACAAAACCTGTTTCAGGTCTACGGAATAAAAAGATGATTATGTGCAAATGATATTTTACTCAATTTTTAATAAAACACTGGCGTGAAGAACGAGTTGTACTTAATTTAAATTTGTAACGTTTGGAAAATTTTAAAACATATTGGATAAAATAAAGCACAACAAAAGCATAGCTGCCTTTTCATGTGATTAAATTTATTTTATTATACTCGACAGAAAATTACATAGGTGCATTCATACCTACATGTTCAAAATTCAGATACACGTGTAAATGTGCAATTTATATAGCGATGATTATGTACAAAGGGTTCCTTAGAGAGCTTAGATAGTGTTCTGAATTTAAATCCCACCTGATTTCTCTATAGCTAAATCTACAATACTATCCCGAACGGAATCCACAAACTTTTGAGCATTTTGATTCTCTGGAATAATGGCGGCATCCACGAGCAAATTAATTTTCCAAGCACCTTGATAACTCGACGCGCATAGCATAATCCCTGAAAGTAATTCACCAAAATGTTGCAAATATTTCGATCCTATACAAAATATTAACCTTACTTACCCATATTTCCAATCGGTAAATTTGCAATAAAATCAAAACTTATCACTCTTTGACCAACAATGTCTATTGGTCTAATCGGTCCAGGAAAGTCTGAATAGCAAAACGTAACCGCATCCACATCCGTATATCCGGTAAACGGTAGCAAAAATGAGGGCAGTCCACCCACAATTTGACCCATCATGAACATTGGTGCAGCCTCAGTCCGTTTTGACTTTAGTTGCGAATTTAACATCGTAATACATTCTCCTTTCCGAGATGATTGCCACGTGGGGATTGAGATTAGAACGGGGGACCTGTACATAAGTTTTTTATTACCATTGCTGATCAATATGTAGCTGTTACGAATTTTGCTTCACTAATCGTAAGATCTGGTCGTCTGATATACAGCGGGACCAGTGGCCGCGGAAGTGGGAACAGAGAGACAATGTCCCCACGGTAATTCGATGTCCCCATCATCTTCTCATGTTATATAAACCCCTCCCTTCCCTATCCTGCAGTGTGAATCAGGCTGAAAATCCAGCCTGAACCGGGGTAGTCTGAATGCCATAAGACTAATGTTAACCCGTTAGGGACCAACTACACATATTTGTGTAGTTTTTTGCTTTCCCTTGGGGACCAAGTACACAAATATGTGTACTTTTTTGCTTTCCGTTAAGGACCAAGTACACACATTTGTGTACTATTTTGTAGTTACGTTGGGGACCAACTACACATATTTGTGTAGTTTTTTTCTTTCCGTAGAGGACCAAGTACACATATTTGTGTACTATTTCCCCGTTACGTTGGGGACCAACTACACACATTTGTGTACTGCGGAAAAATTTTCAAGACCAAATACACACATGCATACAAGTCAAAATTTTATTTTACAAAATTTTAACACGAACCATTTATTTATGCACATTACCAAAAACTATATATCTGCAAAAACTACAACTGTAGTTCGCTGCAATGCATTGTAAGACTAATTTTAAATTGTTCACGCTCAGAAATAAGCGTATTTTGGAGTTTTCCAGAATAGACATGTTTTCGCCCGTGGCGGAATTTAAAATAAACTTAATTTTTAAAGAAGCAAAAAACGATAATTTTTTGAAAATTAAAAGTTTTTTTTAAATTGATTTTTTATCCCGAGTCAGGGCTTATGTACCCGTCATGTCCGTCTGTCTGTCCGTCTGTCTGTCTGTCTGGTTTGCGATAACTGCCGTAAAACTAATCCTATCGACTTGAAATTTTGCACACATATAGTATGGGTCAAATGAGGAGTTGAGTTCGAAGATGGGTGAAATAGGTCAAGTGGTTGACCGGTGGGGGTCATCGGAGTGGGTGGGGTATTACGCACCAAAATTTCAAAATTGTGTTAGAAAGCTGAAATTTGGCATAGAGGTTGCTAATGGTTTATAACGAAGGAATACAAAGTAAAATTTCAAAAATTTTCGTCTGGAGGGACCCGAGGGGGTGACCCATACCGATTTTTAAAATTCATCAAATCGAGCTGAAGTTTGGTAGAAAAGTTGGTAATAGAAGAATATTAATTAAAATAAGAACAATTTTCCCATAGAGAGACCCTATTGGGTAACCCATACTTTTTTTTGTAATCTTCGGAGCTGAAATTTGTTACACAGGATGGTAATTGTTACTAATAGAAGAATATGAATTTAATTTGGAAAAATCAAATTTAATTTTTTAATTTATTGATATGCATTTGCGATAAAATTTCATGCAAAAAGTCGGATTGAGTGATAAGCACAACTTGGCCTGACTCGGGCTATATCAAGTCTGCACTGTAGGTTTTATATTTTCAGGGTAGTAATTCTGAGCAAAAATTGTGTTTAATTTTTGAAATCGGATTAAAATTCGAAAGGTTACAGCGTTTTAAAAATCCTGACTTTGGCGGATTTTTTAAATTCCACCACGGGCGAAAACATGTCCATTTTAGAAAACGAAAAAATACGGGTCCGCTTATTTCTGAGGATGAACTAACTAACTCCGGTCAAGATCAGTGAAAACCACTTGGACCTTGCTAAACTATAAAAATGTATGAATCAATAACTTAATATTATTGTAATGAACTGCAGATAATTTTTACTAATATGCATAAATAAATGCTTAATGTTAAATAAAATCATCAAAAGTTGCCGAAATAAATTCGGTCCTTTATGGTTTGCACACCCACTGTGAAATCGGTGACGTAACTACGCTTACTTTAAAATCATTTTGGTGACGTAGCTACACTATTGGTAAAATTAAATTGGTTATGTAGCAACAACTAACTGATAAAATTCTGGTCCCCAAAGGAAAGCAAATTTCAATTATTTCGGTCACAAAGGGGTTAATCAGAGTACCCCGATTCAGGCTGGATTTAAAGCCTGGTGTGAATTTCCCCACATGTCCTCACGGCTTCCGCAGCCACTGAGCAGGATAAAGTAAATCTATTTGTTTACCAATGATTTGTTATGAACGAGGGTCGTTCCGGAATCCGGATCGGTATTATCCCTAACACTTCCCGGGTTATGTTTCGTTTATCCAAGGCAAACATGGCATCTCTTAAGGCTTCACGAATCCCTGTAAGAACAGCCGCAGGGAAACTACAATTCCACTGATTTTTTGCATTCTTCACAACTTGTAAAGATGTCTGGCTAGAGACGAGATGAAATTTAGAGTTTAAACACATCTTTTCCCGAGGGAGATGATGCAATGGGTTCTTCTCGGGAAGAATAACCGAGCTCAAACTTAGCATTATGGACGCTTGTAAAAGGAGAAGTACGTATTGCACGCAGCTCTTAATTCGATGAAAGATAGATTTCCTTTCGGTTAAAGTACTTGAATCCGAAGTTTTCGAAATATCGTCCACATTGCAAATCTCGTAAACCAGTAAATGCAAAAGACTGTATCCATCTGTGAGGGAGTGATGAAACTTAAAAAATATTGTGTCACATCCAGATCCAGTGTTGCGCAAGAGGTATATCCTCCAAGGGCTTGTTCCCATGGGGTAGCCAGATTCTAGCAACTTATTCTTAATCTCGTCTACTCGATTGGTTTTACTCCCAGAAATTTCCATTTCCTCGATATGCTGATTAATTTTGAAATTGTCGTCAGCCCGCCAGAATAGATATCCTAAATTGGGATTAAAGTTATGTGTGAGGTACAGAAATTACAAACCTTAATAAGTCGGAATCTTACTAAATCATCTTATGCAATAATTTTTTACGGAACATGTAAAATATTATACTTTGTGTTGTAATTCGAAAATCATTCCACATTTGACTTTGAGTATTATTACACCTTAGTTTTTAACCTTACAAAACTGGTTTGACTGCAGCGAGAAAATAAAAAGCGAAAAAGCAGCCCTCCAAAAAAATTGGGTAATGTTTCTTACCAAGAAAAGGGGACGGAATTTGTGTCATTTTCTCATATTCTGGACGCTTCACTGTTTCGGCGAAAGCAAATTTCAACCTCTCCAATGGTAATGGCCCTTTAACTGTAGCCGTGACAAGAATTGAGCTATTTGCCTCGACATAAGCCAACGACGCTAAGGGAACATTGCTCCGCTCAACCAACTTCTTGTAATCTTTTTTTCCACAAAAGGCCGCAATTTTTGGCAGAATCCAACGAATCAAGAAACTTACGGGATGAAATGCAATATACACCATCGTGAGTGTCAATGTTTGAAGTACAACTCGAGCAAAATGATATTTGAATTCCATCTTGAAGCAGGTTTCGAATAATGTGTGAATACCAAAGTATTTTTTAAACGAAAGTTTCCTGAAAAGTGTCACAATATGTTATTTTTTTACGAAATGTACCATTAATAATGAATAATATAGCGAATGAACAATATAATGAATGCATTAATGTTATGAATAAAATATTCCACTGATTCTCTTCTACAGATATGCATACTTATTATAAATATATATGTTGTATGTATGTCGCACGCGTACATTCTTTGTGCATTTAGGAATCAGTAAAATAGCTGGATTTCAATGAGGCACCCCAATGTACATATCTCCGCACCGTAAGAATTATCCATGTGAAACAGTACATATTCATCTACAATTTTACTTTACATCATAAACATTTGGTTTTCAATAGAATCCAATAGCTCAAATAATTGCATAATTCTTTTTGTGTTCTGATCGTTTGAGAACTACTTTTTTTACTTCATTTTTTAAAATTAGACTCAAAAGTAAAATTCGAATAAAATTCTATTTTTTTTACAAAATTGTGCTGGACTAACGAATAATTGCTTCTCGATTTACATACACAAGTGCACGTACATATTAAAACTTCACCTGTGCTATCGGTTGGTCAGTATGAGCTGAATAGACGGGAAAATCACAAGAATTTGTTATTGAATAATACATATGCAAAATTATTATGTCTAACGTTATGCCTTCTTTCCTTTATAATTGGTACGTATTTACTTGCATATTTATTTAGCCCAATATTTCATAAACTATGCAATTACTGTATTTTAAATTCAAAATATTTTTATCAACTTGCAGGGAACATGTTTTCCATCTCATTTTCTGTCTTTTGATAATAATGGTAGCCAAATATGCACTTCAATATTTTCTAAGAGACTGCAACAACAATTTTACCGGACGCGTTCCCCGTGTGAGACATTGTCTTCCCCTGCTCGGGCATGGAATCCAAATGTCTGGAAATGTCATGGATTTCCTAAGTGAATGTTATAAAAAATATGGAAAAATATTTCGCATCAAAATTTTTGGATATTCTGTAACAGTTTTGTGCGACCGTAAACTTGTAGCTGAACTATTTAAGGTAAATAACAGGTTTGTACAGAAATTGCATATGTATGTTGTACAATATTAAAATTAGAAAAAATCCAACATTGTCATGAAAAATAGGCAAGCGAATCGGAAATGTCAGGCTTTGAGAATTTAAGGAAATTATTTTTCGCTGAAATCTTCTTTCCTACGTCCTCCCACTATGAACGATTTGTACAACTAACCAAGACCATAGTGAGTGGAAATTTATCCAACTTCCTGGCAGAAATTGAGGGGGAAGCGGCTATTTGGGTTGAAAATTTGAATATCAAGGTAAACGTGTGTCTATTATGTAATTAATGAGACATCAATCTAATAGTTTCCGGTTAGATATGACATAATTTTTAAAAAATAACCTCGCATACATTTTTTTGGGCAGGTTAAAACTGGAGAAAAAATCGACATTTACGAAGAATGTTCGCGATTCGTAACCTCCACGAGCGCACGCTGTCTCACTGGACAAGTAATTTCAAAGCCTTGCCTGGATGCGCTGCAAAGTTTCTCAAAACTTTTAAACCAAGCCGTCCTTCTGTCCTACCTGTTGCCAAAATGGGCACTCAGATTACTGTATAAAGCGCGACTTATGAGACTCATGGACAAGGTGGCGAATCAAATTTGCCATGATATTGAATCTCACAGGATGGATGATCAATTACAAAAATCAATGTTTCTTAGGTAAAATCATCTTTGGTAAATAATTGTAAAATTTGGGTATTATAAACTGCATATTTCGTGCACGCAGAACTGCTGTTGATTTAATGGATGATGCGACCGGGAAATGCATATCAGTCCAGGAAGTGAAATCCCTCTATGTCCACCTGCTCTATTCCAGTTCCATAAATACAGCATTAATGTTGAGCAACACTTTGTTAGAAATGGCAACTCAGCCGTCTCTGTGGGAACAAATTTTTGAGCAGACTGCTCCTTTCTTACGGGAAGAACAAATTGGAACGATTGGGAGGGATGTCAAGTGCGAGAATGTCATAATCAAGAACAAATTGTTACACGCTACAATAATGGAATCTGCACGAATTAATACGCAAATTATTTCAATTGGACGGTCACCGGGTTCCAAGTAAGGAACTAATAAAATAAACGCAGGAAATGAAATGTAACAATAGGGTGAAACCAGTAATTTCCCAAAAAAATTATGTGACCATACCCCCTGACCTCAAGGGAGAGTGGGCCGATTGACCCCAAAAGTTGATAGGATCCTCCCCCTGGGGTCATTGTTCGATCCCGCAAACTGGTATCGATTATCTTGACCTGCTGACAGACAGACATACGGACAAAATCTTTACATGAAAGGGATTCACCCTATCTATTTAATAATTAGTCTAAATACCAAGATTTTGAATTAAAGTTTACCATGATTTTAACATGATCGTTACCGTTTTTTAAGAACTTCCCTTGGGTCTTTTTACTTGGGAGACGCTGATTTCGTCGGAGTTTGTGGCGGCCTACTCCAGTGTCACAAGGACTTGGCTAGAGACCTGTATCAAGATCCCGAAATATTTAATCCGTCCCGATTTTTGTATGGCTCCATAGAAACCATGTCACCTTTCGGGATTACTGCGTGGGGTGGTGGAATCCACTACTGTCCTGGAAAGAAATTCGCCTTATACGAGATAAAAATTGGAATCGCCCATTTCGTGAATGCCTTCGTTCTGAAAGAACGCCATGTACCGGATGGTTCCCGCCGTGCTAATCACTACTTGATACAGCCCATCGTTCAAAAACTGCTGGATGTTGAGATTTCATCAAGGCCGTAGAGTTATGCAGAAATTCCACAATCATTTTAAATATATGTAATCTATTCCATCGTTCGAAATAATCTTACTAATAATTCAGAATGATGACAATAGATAAATACATAGTTTATGGAATTAAGGTACAACAAACGTAACAAACGAGTAGAACTATTGTGTCATACATATTTGCATAGATCAAAATCATTGCTGATTTAGTAACCAATATTTATAAATATAACATTTCACAAGTAATTATCATGGGAGCTAATTATTCAAATCCAATAACTTCATCAAAAGTTCTGGTCTGTGATAGGTTCGAAATTATTTACTAACAATTTCGCACTTTCGCATGCATGGCTATTATCATGATTTCTCCTCCAAATTCACCTAATTTTCTCTAATAGGTATATGCTTATGTGGGTCATGATTTCCCAAACTTAAACGGATGCCACGTGGCGTTTCATATCGATCGTATGTATATATTCTCAATGGGGAAGACGAGTATTATAATCAATTTGACGAAGGCGACTTCAACTCGGTAGCAACATTGACATTAAGCTGACATTGACATGCTAATAAACTGGTTTGATAAACATGACTTCTACATACATTACGAGTTTTTTATGTTGATCTTTGTATTAAAGTCGTAAAACACGCCCAATTAATGGATGTTTTCCATCGACAGAAAAATCTGTGTCGTCAGGTTCCTGTATGTGAAAAAGATTCCATTCGTGAGCATTTTGCAAGTTTAATGGGTCTAAAAATATGTATGAACGATTCTTCTAATTAGGAAAGCAGCCCACAAACTTTTTTTAGAAACAGGGTGTCCTCGTAAAGTACGACGCATTTTTTTGGCAATTTATGCAAATATCTAGTAAGAAATGTGATAAACACAACAGGGACTTTTTGTTATGAGTATGATTTATTACTATCCTTCTGAGGCAGCTTGTTGGCCCACGAAGGTACAATCATAAGTCTACAAGGATATAAGTCAACTTTTTTAATTACCTATGTATACATACACATACCCCTTAACATACATATTAATCTAGCCTAACCAGTTTTCTCTGTCACAATGAATTTTGCACACTTGCGAACAATGGATTTTGGTGCAAAATAATCTACCCCAATCTTAACGGTGGGATCTAAACAGATTGTAAAATTAGCAGCGATGAAACATAATGCCATTTTAATTTCCCATATAGCAAAATTTTTTCCTGGACAGAGATGACTTCCGCCGCCCCACGCAGTAAGACTTGGAGGTCCTGCGGGTTCCAGCGTTTCGTTTTCCCCCACAAATCTGTACGGGTTGAATTCTTTCGGATTTGTGTACGATTCGGAGGCGGAGGATCCTTCCAATTGTAGGAACGTCCCGCACAGAAATATCGTATCGACTTCCGGTCCTATTTCATACTTGCCGAGATGCACACTACCAAAAACCGTATAAATAAACATGTATATATACGCATGTACATACTGGTAAACACGTGCATACATACGTTTTCTGTGGTGATCTCCCAATCGTCAGAACTTGCGTACTAATTCTTGCCGACTCCAAAAGGCACGCGTGAATGAAGGGATCCTCCACGATGGCCAAGTAATCTTTTTCTGCAACATAACGGGATGCTTTGGCCTGGAACTCAGTCCAAAATTTGGGATGTGACAGTAAATCGATGAGACAATTAGTCAAAGTTGTGGATGAATTTTCAGAACTTGTGTACAACAAAGCGACGTAAAAGTTCCCAATGTCGGAATTCTTCATGTGTCCCCCATCCGCCGTGTTGATGGTGTGCCTATTAATTTGCCGTTAAATCAAATACTGGATGCATTATATCTAATGCTAATGGACATATGCTGTATGTATTTAACTACCTTTGAAAAATTACCTTAAAAATGGAGAATGCTCAAAGTTTTGTTCCCCTGACCTGTATTTCTCAATTGTTGGTGTGATTTCTTTCGTTATGTTTGATTTTAAATAGTTCAGTATCCACTGAAAGCAGATCTTTAAAATCCAAACTGGGCAAAAATATGTAGATACTACTGCCGTATTTAGAAGCTTGGCAAATCGGGTAAAGCTCTTATAACTTGCATCCGTTAACGATATATCCGTTAAACAACGAGAACTTGTTGAAATGACATATCGATTGGACTCATAGTTCAAATCAATTTTTTGGTTTTCCATCTGTCAAAATACAACCAACAAATTTGGTAAATGATGAAATGTATTACGTTATTATTACTACGATTTACCAGCGATTGTTTAAGTCGAGAAACAAAAACATCCGCTTCTTCTACCATTTTGGGTAGGAAACGTTCAATCTTATTTCCCACAGTTTTACGAATTACTTCCGCATATCGGGGGAAGTCTTTCTTTTGACGGAAAAAAGCATCGGCAAAGTAGAGTTTTCCCAAATTTTTGTACAGCGAAAGCGTGCCCTCTCCAAACTAGAGTAGCAAGGTTTATAATTTTTGGTATGTATGTCCGCAAGCATAATTCGTTATGCAAATTTTATAATTGCAGGTTACCTTGTAAAATAGTTCAGCCAGATCTCGATCACAAATGATGACGGTGGAAAATCGAAAAATTTTAAGTTTGAAAATGATCCCATATTTTTTATAACACGATGAAAGAAATCCCGGCATATCCACGGAAAATTGGAGCCCATTACCAATGAAACTAAAATTATACGGGACGCTTGGAATTGAACAGGTTTCATTTCCCTTGAAAAATCTTGACCGTGTTTTTTGAATCCCCCAAATAATACTCGTTAGGCAAACGACCACAACAATGGGGGCTAAATTCGAACTGAAAATAGAATTAGTACATAAGAATTGCACACGGAATTTCACGACACAATTAATTATTAAGACGAAACAGATGAAGTATTACCGTAAGTTGAAGTCTGCCTCCATGTTATGCAGTTATTAATTTAAATTTGACGCCTCTGAATTAAAAATGATCCTTGCAATTTTTGTAGCGCAATTATTTATTTTTCCCGAATAACATTAGTCTTAACGATTTCAACAAATATTAGAATTATAATTTGACTAATAAGGCAAGCAACACAGGTGAGAATACTGAATTTCACTACAATTAGAACAAATCCATACGTATGTATGTATCACAATGTTATTACATTTCATGTATTGATACCTTGGTACATGCATATGTATGCCCACAACTTCGTGCTCATGCAATCTACTCGTCATCAAAAAATCTGAACCGTATGTAAGTAATGATGATCACATCCAGTGATTGCACTTGGTATGACTCTAACCAACTCCATGTTGGATAAAGAATTAGCCTGTCGTAAAAAATGACAGTGTCATAAAATACCGGATATTATACTTCAGTTATTGTAGCGAGTTAAGAAGCAACGTGTGGTATCGTCCCATCTGTCCGTCATATCCGTTATATGTATTCGTCGTATTCATACTGGAGAATGGTCACCAATTGAAAAATTATTTTTGCTTTCTGACCAAGCAGAGAAATTAGTCACCGATGAACCATTCCCTGTAAAAGAGGATAAATATGTATATTTAAGATGTTCAGGCGATGGTATGCTCAATTTTATGGGGAAATGCTAGACAATTAGCGAAAGTGGGCTAACAATGGAACCTTTTTTCAAGCTACACCGAGATAGTCTAACGAGTTATATCAAAAAATCAAACTAAAAATCAGGAATCAAATGACGCTTATCATTCCGTTGAATGGTCCCTTTGAAGAAAACTATTGGGGAGCAAAGTACCCACGAGCGCCTTGATTTTCGCCTCGTGGAGGGAAAAGGAGAGAAAAGGTACTAAACAATTAAACTTTGACGCCAATATTTTTCTTCAAAGGGGTCTTTCAATTAATGATGAGCGTCATGTGATTCCTAATAGCTTGAAAAAAGGTTCCATTGTAAGTTAAATTTTGCCATTAATTTCACCTGGCCTAGGCTTACGGATACGATATATATGTCTCGATATACGTAGGGATGAAAAGAAGAATATTCCGGAAAATTAACTGGTGGCATGAAGATTAAGCGCTGGTGTATGTAGTAAACATGGATAGATTTTAATAAAATTTGCATATGTACCTATACACGTGCAACCTAGTCTGTTGGAAGTGGGCCCTAACCTTGTGTGTGCTGAGGCGTAAAAGCATTGTACAAAAGGCGTTAGGACATGGTTTTGACGAATTCATACCTTAATTGCGGGATGGTTTTTAGTTGTAGAGATTTCTAACATTTTTTATGTGAAAGCCCATGTCTCAAACTATAGGTAAGCATATCTGGCTTCCGATTTTATGTACTCTGCGAAATGAGGAAACGTCAAATTTGGAGAGGTGTCCTTTTTTAGTTTTCCAAACCAGTGTTCTTATAAAATGGCGTTGAACAAAATATTTTTTTCTGAGGTCCTGGTGCAAAAATCGTCTTTGCGACTATTATCAGTGGACTTAGCATGCTTTTCACTATATAAAACCACTTTTGTATCATGCTTATCTTTTAAGTCCCTTTTGTAGTCTAGCTTCATACTTGTCTTAATGGAATGCTCTCTTGAACGCAACTCCTCGACTTTAAAGGCCCCCACATTTTAGGACTTTGATGCTAAAAATCCCTAACGTGGTTTTTATCCAAGGTAGAAATTGTATGTTGCATTGTAAGTACTTTTGATAAAATTTTGATAAGTGGTTACACCCCAGGAAATGAGTTTCCATCAAACCCTATAAAATTTTTACAAAAGTTCTCCTCGAAATTGAAGCGGAACTTTAAATTTTTTTAACTAATCAAAACGCAGTAATTTTATTATTTTGTCACTTGTACCTTGTAGGTAAAATAGTTCTGCAGCAGGGAACACAAAAAAGTTATTAAAATTTGTTTTCAACAAAATTTGACCATTATTTTCCTAAATTAGTTCACGAGTTTTTTTACTATTCCCCGTCAGCTGAGTAGCTAGGGTCCTTCTCCAAAACTGTTTACACAAAATCTTCACTGTTTAATTTAATATTACTTGAGACACTTAGAGCTTTGCCCTCAATCTTCATTTGACCTAGTGGGTCCGCTTTAAAGGTCAGCAGGTCAATTTTCCTGTGCACGGTCCGATTGATCACTTTTCATGAAAACGTATCAGCGACGATGGAGGCCCAACGTTATGTAATTCATTGTGGATTCTTTTATTATTACATGCAATGATTATCAAGGGTTGTAATATTCACAATCATTCACCTCTGACCTCTTAGGTTATCATGCTATATGAGTAATTCAGTTTGGAAAGTGTTTTTTTGGCTCCTTCAAACTCTGGGGGCACTGGAGGGGGCATTTATAAAGCTATCGGCCCAAAATTTTAAATATATCTTTTTGAGAGTATTATCTTGCAACTGACCAAAAATCAGTTCAAAATTCAACTCCCCGCCAGAGATATTCAACCGCGAATTCGTCAAAACCATGTCCTAACGCCTTTTGTATTCCAAACCTGATTCTATTGCTTCAAAGATAAAGGTAACCAAATCTTTTAGCAGTGATCGCGTTTCAAGTTTGACTTGTAAAAATTTTAATTATTTAAATTAGCATATACACATGCCCCCAGTGTGTCAAAAGTGGATTTATGTACTGACCCTGACCTTGAATTATACATACGATTCAATATATGTTTGAAAACCAGACTTTAAGAATATATATGTACAGTTGTACAAATGAAAGTAGAAGTGTAATAAACTTCATGCATAATAAAAAATTTAATGAGTAGCAAAATTGTAATCAAATTTGCATAAAATGTATAAATTTTGTAGCGGAGTTAGACGTAAACCAGACTAACCAGACTGACAATACAAATTCCGTGTATTGATGCTGAGGCGTACATAAATTGTAAATATATTTATCGACGCATACTGGCTATGTTCTAAATAAGATACGAACTGCGAACGTCTTTTTTACATATCAAACCATGTTTTTATGTCATTTGATGAAAACTGGTTTTGTTAATTGATTGAAACTGAATAAAATAAAAATGCAATAAAATTGGACGAGTTCTTCCCTCACGTGTTTTCCTCACTGTTTCTCCTGAATACCAACCACATTAGTAACATGATATGGGAAAAGTTATAAAAAAATCAAATTTGGACGACAAGGTTCAAAAAAACTTTTGTAAAATGTATGAAGAGTCGAATTGAAAGAAAATTTTCAATGTACCAGTATTCAATGTGTACGCGAATTCTGACCCATCTTGATAAATATCTCAATGCATGAATTAATAACTTAAGTATAATGAGGCAATTCGCGTCAACCTTCGTAAGTACGTACTTACTGGGCCCAGGATAAGTGTTAGTCGCTAATAATATTAAAACCGCTGGAGATAATGAAAATCTGATAAGTGCGTTGGATTCCTCGTGCGATTTTACATAAATAGCATAAATCAGTTTTTAATTGCTTGCAAAGCATATCAGCAGGCAAAATCTTGAAAGGACGCGGGCGACGTCCATTTTTCACCAAAAAAATGGGACGAGAAATGGCGAATTTTGAAAATGTGACTGGAGTCGAACGTGTACTTTAATTTAGTTCAACTGACTAAAAACGTTCATAGGGACTGGATAGACTAAAAACAGTCGAAGAAAAATTTTTTGAAAACCTCCAAGGACCACACCCATCGTGAAGGCGCTGAAGGACAGAGACCAAAAATATCCACGAATTTCCAGCGGAAAATAGCCTCACAGCTGACATTGTCGATGCATATTATCCAATGAGTACTCAAACTGAACCTCAGGCTCAAGGTTTTGAAATGTGGTACTTGCCACCTCTTGATGATACCCAGAAAGAAAGCCCTACTAAAGAAATGAAGGGCTCTACTCAAGCGGTACGCGCCAAAAAAGTGAAGAGGATTCTTTATACAAATGAGGAGATTTTCACATCGGGAAAATATTTTAACAAACGAGTTGACCTGAGCTAAGCAAAATCGGTCAAAGATATCCTCTGATATAGAGAAAAGGTCAAAAAGTCACATCATCTAGGTTTTGTGATGATTTTATCAGGTGGGAGCTAATTTGGGTAATTTCTCTACATTTTGTTGAAAATGGGGGGAAGGTGGTGGTATCGAATTTCTTAAAAAATGTTTTCGAGTCCATGGTACATGCCCTAAGTGAGATCCAATTCAATGGAATCGATGGGACCTCTCAGCAGGACTCAGCACGAATTTATAGTGCAAAAAATGGCCGAAGCGTGCCTAAAAAACCAAATTCCGGACTATATCTCCAATTAGGAATGGTCATCCTCCTTTCTGGATTTGAATACCCGGATTATGAAAAACTGCCAAAGTTAGGGGCAAAGGTGTGTTCCAAGCCATATAGAAGTCTGAAAGCTTTAAACAAATTTTTGACCACGAAATGGAGCAATTTGTCCACCGATTCCGAGCGTGCTCCAATCGAGCTCTTTAGGCTGCGTCCTCAGCTCTGCATTAATGTTAGGGAGGAAATTTCGGAAACCAAAAATTGTTTTCTACCTAAAAATTAACTGGCTTTCCATTAGAATTTACTAGAAATTTGTAGCACAAAAACTGTTGAAGCTACAGCGTTTCAATCTACTAACACTTTACTTGGGTCACCTAGTAAATATCAGCTTAAGAACCAAAAACATGTCGTTTATCTTAATCAAAAATTGGCTTAGGGATATTGGCTAGTTTCGTCGAAAATTAGTAAATTTATGTGGTTATGGACTTACGAAGGCTGACGTGAATTGCCTCAATAAATTACACTAATTGTAAATAAGTTCGTATGCATTGTTGCTTTTCGGCAGAGTAGGACGTTCGATTTTCTTAGGTGATTATTCATTTATTTGATAAATGACATATGCGAAGAAGTCATCCTTTTGTGAATCAGAAACCAATGTTATTAAAGTAGCTGCAGCTACTTTAAAGTGAAGGCTTTGTCTATCCACAGAATATCTCTAGAACGGATCAATATTTCTGAAATCTATTTTTTTGGGTATCGGCATCTAATTTCTTTGTGCGGTAATTAAGGATAATTAGAGAAGTGCTGAAATTTTCCCCAAAAGCCAAACCTAATTGAACCAATGGAGTGGATCTGTTATTTTTGCATATGAACTATTTCCTATGAATATAGTGCCAAGCTTGTATAAAAACCAGTTTTATCTATGGCCAGACAATGAACTAATGGCACATATTTATAAGAACACAACAATACATATATTTAATTATAAAAGGTTATCATAAAATGACATCAAACCAGCTTCACTTAAGCTTTACTACTCATTTTACCATACACAAATACGTCATCCATGAAATTCGACACACCTCAATGTCAATTCTCTTGTGGTAAATACATTCTCGAGAAACACTGAGGCTATTCATAGGTAGATAAGGACGAGTGTCCATATTGCGTCGAACTGGCCTGGCATTTACTTACATATACGGGAGCAGAATATATATATATGTATTTGGACGAGGTACTTATTCCTAACAATACTTTTCAAATGTGTTCATGGATAGAATCTGGATACAAGGACTCATTCTTGTCCCCACTGTACATAGATACATTTACATGTGTACATAGTTCATGGCTGAAGTATTGTATGCCTTGATATGGCTTGTCGAATAAGAAAAAAATCCGCAAAAAACCCGCAGTGGACCATATTATGTAGTGTCCATGAAATTAGCCAGTTTTCATACGACACCGACCTTGATAAGTGGTCTGTTAATTATTTGGCACATACATAACTTCGGAATACATAACTTTTGTCCCTATCGTTAATAGTTGCAAATATGTCAGACTTGAGGTTTTTGTAAGTTCTCGGACATACACGTTTTTTTATTTCAATTAAATAATTACAATTTTCCTTCAGCTTGGAAGACGGACAAATTCCAGCCACGCCATTTCTCACCTCGCTGTTAACTCTGGTAATCTGGTTGCTACTACGAAACTGGACATGGCGAAGTAGGAATACCAAGGAAAACCGGTATCACGACTCCAACTACGTAAAGGGACTTCCTTTGGTGAGAGGAAGTCTCCCAATAATTGGCCACGGTTTACAATTTAGCCTGAACAAGACCGAATTTCTGAAACAATGTTACGCCACTTATGGAAATGCGTTCAAAATTAAAATATTTCGTGTAACAATGGCCGTATTTTGTGATCGGAGTTATGCCTCGGAACTATTTAAATGCGGGGAGGAAAAACTATCTTTTTATGAAATGTTGAAGGGTATCTATCTCGGAGAAGCGTTTAAGGGGTGCGGTCTCAAGCTGTCTTCAATGTTAGGATTAATTAAGAAAGGAACCTCCCTCAAGACGGATCTTATTTTTCCCGTGATGCAATCCGAAGTCAGTTATGATCTTAATTATTAAAATTATTCAATTTACATATTATTATGCTAATTTTGTTTAGGCGATGGAACTAATTTCAAATCTTCGTCATGAATCCAAGCACGCGGCCAATCAACTCGTAGACATCAAAACGGCCGTGTCTCGCTATGTTTCCACGACGAGTGCGAAATGTTTGATTGGCGTGAATTTAACCGAAGCCATGTTTCAAGACTTGGAGCAATTTGCGTGCATTTTAAATCATGGGGTCATAGCGTCATACTTTCTACCCAAATGGATTATACGATTCTTCATTCAATGGAGACTGGATAAATTATGCAGTAAAATTGGGACTGGATTGAACTCAGAAATTGAAACGTATCGACAAGACAAGGACAAAAAGTTTTCATTAATATTACGGTAACATTTGCTTATCTACGTAGATATTTGCATATTTAATATGCATTTGCGCGACGAATAATTAGCTTAGTAATCCGGGATTACCGACTGGATTAACCGGCCGTTTGCTGTAACATAGAACCCAATCCAATCCTATGGATCCATGTTATAGTAAATGGACAGATACAAAATCCGATCCGATCGGATATATCGGATCGGATCTACCAACCCTACTAATAATTATTTTCTTTTGAAGAGCCGCTGTCGATTCTACGAATGAGGTTACCGGGCTGCCCCTGTCGAATAAAGAAATTGCCAACATTTTTGCATGCATTTTATACGTGAGCTCGGAAAACACGTCGCTGGGGTTAATAAACACTCTTATCGAGATATCCACACATCCCGAAGTTTGGAATAAAGTTCGCGCAGAAGTTCAACCTCTCCTTGCAAACAATGACATCCGTGGGATTATGGATGCTCCATTTTTGGATGCCTGCATTTTGGAAAGTGCTCGACTGAACTCGCATCTCTTCGCGATAGGACGCACCCCCACGGGAATGTACGTAATTTGGCTGATACATATTGGCAAACTGATATGAACAATGATGGATTTCACGTCAAGTTTGTAACTACATACGTAAATGATTGCGTTAGGTTTGTAAGTTTGCACAGTCTTGACGTGAGTTCACTTAGTTAACATTTTTTTGTCTCATGTGCGTAACATATAGCAACCCTGATTTCAAATGCAAACACTAAACATTGGAATTATTTAAGAACTTTTGTTTACGAAACAAAAACATGCTTTTTAAGTGTGTAAAAGTTCGTAGGACTTTCTTACAAACCTCACGCGGCTACGAAGGTTACAAACATTGATCTGAATATACTGTGCATAACATGGCTTAATTTTATCAGGAAATCACTCGGAGGTTATTCCATTGGTGATGTGGATACGGTAGCAATATGTGAGTTGCTCGTACACATTTATGGATCCGCAAGTAACGTTTTTTCGGATGCTACCCGATATAACCCGGACCGATATTTTTTGGACGCTGCAGGAAAGAAAGAACCACAGGATATACTGACGTGGGGATCAGGTTTGCACGCATGCCCGGGAAGGATTTTTGCAAAGTATGAAATAAAGATGGCATTAGCTATGTTTCTCACTTATTTACCTGTGGATGCTAAATTATCACGAATTTCGGAGAAGGAGTATTTTTCTCCGAGTGCGTTTGCAGAGCGTAGTTTTCTAGCTAAGTTTAAACTTGGTGAGCATATTATGCTTTCTAAATAATGTTTGAAAATTAAGAGGAATAAACAACTGAAAAAAGATGTTTAAAAATGTACCATAAACATTTATTCGGCATACTTTATTTAGGTTTGACCTCTTTTCTACAGACACTGGATCATCGTAATTTATGATTCGTAAATATAGCAAAATCGTTGTCATATTTGAGCTTACATTGAAAAACTACTATTGCTCCTTACATGATGTCGCTATTGGATAAGCAATTGTGATCATTTTAAGTTTATTAATTTGATTCAAAAGTCTAAAAGTCCTTTTTCCAGTTTCAATTTGTACTGGCATGGTAGACTGCTTTTTGAATAAAATTGGAGCATATATCTTCGGAATTCTTTTATGTGCATGTCTTCCTTGACCAATGGTGGGTTGGCGATGTACATCTTTCGATTCCAAACTCCAATGTCACGTTGAAACTGGAGATCAATTCAAATATTAGTAATCATTACGAGGTAACTACGTTAGCAAAAAAAAAGTTCGCAAAAAAATTTTAGCTTGCAAATACATTTCCGAACGTACGCATCTCATAAGCTACATATAGTATTATGTAATTCGTAAAATATTTTTCAAAATTTTGTTGCAATGTGAACATGCGAACTATTTGGTAATCAATACCCCCAATATTTTTCATATTATCTAATTATTGGACTATTTATGCATATTTGACTACCTGGTCTTGCTGTGTCCGCATGGCAATATTTGCTATAATCTGGGGAAACCAACGTGACGCGTAGATCTTTTGAGTCACCAACTGCAAGTGTGGCTCCTGTGGTGTCACCGTAATTACGAGGACTGCTTTCCCGAATATTGTATCAAAATGGAGGAAGGACTGGGAGGGACCAACCTTCAATCGATAAAAATTCGTGAACACAAATTAACATATTTAAATAATTTATTAACTTTCTCGCAATAATTAACGGCTTCTCACATTACGTCCATGTAACTCTCTCGGAAATAGTTTCCATTTTTTGAACAATTCAATGTGATGCGTTCCATCAAAATAGTACTCATGTTTCCGGGTAGGATCCTCTTTCTTCTTCCAAGTTGCAGAAAATACATGCCTAATGAATTCCCAGCGAAGGCATGGTAAAGGTTCTGACTTTCTTCGTGCGAATGCGGGCGATACTTTGTCTCCATGGAGAGCATTTAGGTGCGATACGTCGGCCGCATTTTCCGGTATTTCCTATGTAATAGGAAGGCGTATAAAGTAAAGTCGTGATTTACTTGTATATACATTAGCAGTGGTCACGGAAGCCATGGGGACATCTGGGGACCATAACATTGTAGGATAGGGAAAGGAGGAGTTTAGATAACATGGCCGGATGATGGGAACATTGCCCTCTCTATCCCCACACTTCCACGGCCACTGGTCATTACTTGTTAAAACAAAAGCATACTTGAAAATGACAGGTCACAGTATTGCTGGCAGTTGCTTTACAGACCCATTCTCCATTTCGGATTTGTTCTAAATCTCTCGGATAATATGACGGTTCCTCTTTATCGGCGTGATACCAAATCCAGATAGAGCCACTGGCTTCTGTGGATGTCCACATGGTCAATTTTACGGAATCTGGGACTAGAATTTGCACACAAATATTTATTAAAGTATTGGAGACGCTTGCACCAAGCGTGGCTAATATTTTAATAAGTATTGCAAACATTCAAATATACATGAATAACTACCTTTCCCCTGCGTGTACGGGATGTGATGCACCTTTCCGTCAGTACTTCCATTAAATGACCAATGATGAAAAGGACAGCGAATGCAATCAGCCCCCACGACCGTTCCGCCAGTACCAATGTGAGCCCCCAGGTGTGGACAGTAAGCCCCAGATACGAATATCTTATCGGAATATCCACGCCAAACGATGAGCTCATGTCCTGCAATAAGCACGGATTAATTAAGTATTGGCCATAAAACAAGTGTATTATTAAAAAGAATTATTTACCCAATGCATAAACCTCCTTAATTTGTCCTTGTTTTACTTGATCGGATTCTCCTACCGCATACCAACAATTGGGATACGGTGGAGAACAATCTCCTACCCGTTTGCGACGTCTCATATCATTTATTTCACGACATCTATCCCCGCCTTGGGATCCGGCAGCGTGATACCCGAAAAAGCTGTAATCCTAGAAATCACGTGGCATGACGATGGGTTTTAAAATGTTGCTCTTTATTATCACTTCGTATAACAGGAATTAATAAGGACTTACTTGTATGGTGACATCACGTATGAATAAAAACTTGTAAATGTATGACCTCACAAAACCAAGCAGAATTATCACTAATATGGCTGTGCAGTATTGTGAGAATGAAATTGACATGAAGAGAAAGCTTAAATTATTAAAAACTTCCATCCCTAGCTTTATGCAGCTTGAATCTATTCAGGATTATGAGGAGGAAAAACCTCAATTGAATGAAGAGTACTGTATGTTTGTACGATACGACGAATACAACAAAACTGGTTTTTAGAACGAGTGTGGGCTTGTGTAAACGCCATGTCCGTCTGTCTGTCCAATGATAACAGTCGCAAAACTGAACATATACATACATGATTTTATATAGTGCACATTTTTAGTAGTTCATAATTTGTAGGTTCATAATTGATATTGCAATCTGTAGTGACGTAGATAATTAAGAAAATTTCCGTTTTATCTTTGCAGTGCAAGAGGAAAATTTTACGTTCGCACGCCAAAATTGAATATGACCTGTGAGTGTAGTTTAATGGAATCAAAAGTGTAATTTATCGGGATACAATCATTTCTACAGTAAATATGTAAATATGTACAGTAAATATTTTTATGAGCATAATGAGCATAATGCCAGATCAAGGTGTGTATGTATAAATATATGCATTTACACAAAATTTGGTATTAGCACTTCCATTCTTTTTTACTGGGTAATTGAGTAAATTCATGTATGTATTTGTCATTTAAAATTATAAGAAAACACAGAGGGCTTTTTATTTATTTTTGAAGAGTCCAATCCAACAATACGTGAGGAAATTTAAGGCTATACAACTAGAAATATTTATTCCTTGGTGAGTAAAGTATATTCATGGCACTCATACCAATACAGATATGCATTTGCTTGACCTAAGATAAAAAACACAAAACTTTACAAGGTAGTGATTGTTGATTGCATAATACTTGGTAGACATGTATTTATCCAAACGACTGTAAAAATAAGTAGTAATATTTTTTCACCGTTAAAAATAAAAACCGTTGAAGGGCAATTCCAAGTTGTCGTCGTTTTGGTGAATTTATATTAAGCAATTTTTCTGCACAAAATGTGGTGCCTGCCAGCAAAACCCCGATTGGTAAAAGTAACCAAAGTGGCAAATAGTTTGTTAGGGTTATGGCTTCTGCACCCTGCGAAAATTTTAAACTAATCGTCTCAATGCTATCCTTTATACTGTCGGAGATTTCCATATCGCGTCGTGTTCTGCTATCAATCCCATCATGGTTTTTATCGTCGACTTTCCCCTTTTGTCTTTCAAGCTCCTTTTTCTTTTTAAAAAATCCGGAGATGAATCCTTCCAGCATTCCGTCCGCCATAATTTTGTCCACAATGACCTGATGCGCCCTTAATGAGGGAAAATATAAAATACAAGTATTAATGAATATGAACCTTAATTACTATGTTAATTAATCATATGTAATTAGGCGAGGGATTTCATAAATTTCTGCACATAAATTAACTTGAATTTCAGCAGCATCTAAATTAGAACCACGTGCCCACAAATATTTTGCAACTTACCGGAAATAGTCGATTATCCCTGCACTAGCCATCGCGTTTAGCGTTTCGACCAATCCGGTTGACCCAGCTGAATGCTTAACCGCCCAAAAGATATCATTGGCGATGCTATCCTCAGCAATCTTATAGCCACGAAGTCGATACTTTTTTTCAAGTATTTCAAACATAATTTTATGATAGCTTCCTTCGTCCATGATGCTCACCTTGCATTGCAAGAGTTCATTAACGTCCTTAACAGCCTTTAAAATATATTTATTCGACAGATTTTCGAAAATGGTATTGTCCGATCTTTTTCCTCTGCCAAGCTCCGATTCCAACGCGACATTGACGTGCATCGGCTGCCCACCTTTTCTGGTTTCCAACGCGTGAATGGGTCTCTTATCAGCGAGCAATTCATGAAACGTTTCCGGACTCAAAGTTTCCGTTGGTTTCATTAATTCTTGAATTAAATTGCTCTTAAAGGTTGCAGAAATTAGGAGGCAATAGAACAAGTAGGTTGCGTAGATAAAGCGGAGATTAATGTTAGTTTTCAAAATTAGGGCGGCATGTTTATATCCGAGGCATTGATCGATCTGCGCCCTGATTAAAAATTCCGAGACCCGCAAAGTAGCCGAACACGGATTGTCAGAAATTATCCCAGATATCTTGCGATAACCGATAACGCAAATTGTTAGACATCCAATTACCATGATATTCGCCATGAACATGTTAAACCCAATGGGGCGAAATAACGCAAGAAATATGGCCACAACATTGTAACGTTTCACTGCACCAAATTTCACTTCGAATTTTTCTCGGGAATGAATTAGTTCGTAATTTTGTGATAACCGCAAAAGTTTTTGTGGATACGTGTACACCGCTAGATCAATATCCCATACGTTAGGGTTATCTGAGACTTGGTGTTTCTCACAATTCCCCACGGTGAGATTGTGATGGTCGACTAAAACCTTGATGACCATAATGTGACGATTTTTGATATTGTTGAATCTGAATACTCCTTTTGGATACCACTTGTACTGATCTAGTAAAATGCTTTGGATTCGAGAAATGTAATCGTCCAGGGTAGAAATTTTTAACCGGTTGGTGAAAATATCTCTCGGGATGAGGAGACAATTTGAGGGGATGGGTGATGTTTTAGAAGGTTTAGGATTTCTGGACATTAATTGTTTCCCAGACAGGATGGAGATCAGATGAGACGAGGATAAGTCAAATCCTATCGCGATAGTTAGCGGAGATTTGATTATTGATTGTGGAAGGTGATTTAATTTTGACGTTGTTAGAATTAAGCGAGGAATTGTGGAATGTATTTCTGTCTCTTGACAAAGTTTGTTAGTGTTACAGACTACTGAAATTTTGTAAGAGATGAATATCTCAGAATAATAAGTTATCGGGTCCTGATTAGCACACACGATTGGTGGAGAAAGGTTACAAAGTAGAAGGAGGAAATTGAAGGTGTGCATAAATTTATTCATAGTTTATTAAATTTGTTAAGTGGTGTCTTTGCTGCAAGAAGTGTTAAATATCTATTGACTAAATTTGCTCTAAAATTCGAAATTCAAAATTACAATTTTTAGTTTTGTGGGACAAATAAAGTGTCAACGTGGGAATGGGCGAGTGAAAACGATGAGATTAATTTGTAGCTTTCGTGCTACTCCGGTTCCCTATATTTTGTAAAACTGCGTCTCAAACCAATAATCACGGAGAAATGTACCAGTACATATTTAGCAACTATGTATGCACTTATTTAGAATGGTATGATATAAGATAAGGTATTTTCTTCATGCGAAAGTGCAGAATATTGAGAAGGGGTTGAAAAGTTTGTTTTCAAACTTGCCTCTAAGTCCATATTTATAGGTTTTCACGTCTCAGAAAAGTTCGATATATTACAAATACTACAAAATATATATTTGTATAATGAACCTATGTCAGATAAAGTACTCTTAGCCTGGTTTCACGTTTCTAATGATCTAAAGTGGAAAGTATGTACACATGAAAACTGAAACATATATCATACATAGCATAGGTATATACATAAGTATGTAAATATATAAATGTATGTACGTGCAACGACAATTTGCAATATTTGTAAGTTAAGAAATTAAATTCGACTCGAATTGATCTCCTCTCATCTGAAGTGCATTTACGAGCTTCACTTTACAAATTGGGGGCAGTAGCCTAATTATCAAAATAGGTTTCTAAAGTGCACTTGCCAGTGTGTAGCAAGTACCTACATACATATGTATCTATATACAATATGTGCATATACATCTGTACTGTACATACATATTTATTTGAGAATTTTTACTTATTTTATTGATCATGGTATTTTTGCAAGTTTCGAAAGAAAGTTTGAAATGAACTTCAACGAAAAATGCACTTTTTCCATGCTGAGTGAATTGAAGAAAAGATAAGATAATATGTACATCGTTATCTTCGAATTTTTACTTGATGGTATGAACAACTATTATGTAACCTTGTGAATAGGCTTTCCCACGGGACGGGACGGTACGGGATTTCGCTGTCCCGTCCCGTCCCGAAGATTGACCGGGATGAGACTTTCGGGACGGGACGGGATGGAGGCCATCCCGTCCCGAGTCCCGTCCCGAGTCCCGTCCCGATGCTTGTCCCGACGGGACGGGATATCCCGAGGTTTTTTTTATTTAAATTGAAATTTAATTCTTCATCAATTTAAACATACTTGGCTGTCAGTATGGGTTGCTGCTTTATTTTCTTACTGCATAAATTACACAATATCAATTACCACTCCCACCGACCGGCCAAATACCAATAATTTCAAAATTTAATTTTTAACTATTTATAGTGGAAAGTTGAGAAATCGCCATCATTTCGACCTAGGTATTTACATATAACCTGCATATCAAAAGTCAGAACAATTATTTGTTTAATTTTAAAATTCAAATTTGTTAATTTTTTGAAAATAAATTTTAACTATGATGGGTAGCATGCAAATATGAATTATTAAGAAATATAAAGACAACCAGCGCAAAAACTCAACTAACCACAAACGTCTGAAATTTTGAAAATGTTGGACATGAGATGGAAATTATATTTAACTGGCTCAAGGTAAAATAAATATCAGACATAGGTATTTAATATGTCTGATATGCATATAGTTAAATATTATTTAACTGTATGCATATGCATGAAATACAAAATTACAATATGTATTTATGGTCAACGCATGGAAAGATTTCCATAAGATATTGTTATTTTGCCAATAACGAGAGTGAGTTTTGAGAAAAATATTTAAGTTCGGGACGTCCCGTCCCGACCGGGATAGACCGGGACGGGATGACTTCGTCCCGTCCCGAAGCTTGTCCCGTCCCGAGATTCTTCGGGACGAAAAATCTTGTCCCGTCTCGAGTCCCGTCCCGCGTCCCGTCGGGACGGGGCGGGATTGTCCCGTCCGGTGGGAAAGCCTACTTGTGAACATACATATTGAATGCGTTTTCATGCTTAATCCAATGAACAGGATTACAATCTATGTATGTATATCATATTTTTTATATAAATACATATTACCATAACATAAATACGAACCACCATAGATATTAGAAATTTTCTTTATATA